CAAGCCGCTTGCCAAGACAAAGCCGCTGACACCGTGGAGAAGGGGTGACTTAGCCTACTGGCCTACTGGGGGCAGATGAGCTCCCTGCTGCAACATGTGGCCCAGAGAGGAAGCATCGGTGTGGGAGCCATGGCTCATCTGAGAGCCAAAGCAGCTGACCTCACCAGCAGATGGCAGGACACCCATGGGTTTGAAGATTTCCAAGCAGGCCTGCAAGAGCTCATCAATGGGGGAGATGCCCCAATAACCCTGTTGATACAAGGTGCGGATTGCAACAAAGAGCAAGCTCAAAAACTGGCATTCAACCGGCAAGCTGATGAATACCAGAACTGGCTGTCTCAAGCAACCCTCAGGGGGCACAGTGGCATCTACAAGTGTTTGAAGGCCCCAGATGCGGTTCACGTCAGACCTTTTCGCAATGTGCCTGTGCAGCAGAGACAGCAGATGAGGGAAACACAATGGTTTGGAATGTGGCAGGTTGTTGACAAGCCCAAACCAAATGGGGAGAGAGAGCGGTTGAGATATGAAGGCATTGTGCAAGCCCGGCAATGGGAAGATCTTGATCCCCACAAGGTGATGAAGCAACTCAGCAAACTCCCTCAAAAAGCTTCAGGACCAGATGGAGTCAGCTATGCCTTGTTGAAAGCCCTGCCCATTGAAGGGGTCACTGCTCTGTGCAACATGTACAGGAAGTGGCCGGCTGCCTGATCAAGTGCGCACAACATTGGTCCTGCTGCTCCCCAAAAAAGAAGACATTGAGAGGCCCATCTCATTGACGAGTGCGCTGTACAGGACGTGGTGTCGATTGAGATGGGACAAACTGCGACCATGGCAGACCAGCATTGGCCAGAAGCTCAGTTGGGAGCGAAGTGTGCCTGGCACACATGTCCTACAAGTTGCCCTCATGAGGCTGCTGAAATGTGAGGTAGGCCGTGCCACTGGAAAGCATGTGGTCTCGCTTCTGGTGGACCTGCAGTGTTTCTATGACAGTGTTGCGCTTGAGCAACTGTTGGAAGCATGGGAGCCTTTGGATTTGCCGCCTGCAGTGATGAACATGGTATACGAAGTGTATACCGGGCCACGGCTGCTCCAGGCCGAACAGGTCACCTCCAAACCTGTGATCTGCTCAAAAGGAATCCTGGCCGGATGCCCTGCAGCACCGTTAGTAGCCAAGTTGATCCTGGCGCCAGTGTTAGGCCCTTTCAAGGAGCAGTTCCACAAAGCCACCATAGATGTGTGGGTGGACGACATCTCCATTGACTTCGTTGGGGATAGTGTGAGAGGAGTTTGTCAGGAGGCCCTCCATGGATTTGACGTCTTGCAACAGAGGCTCACGGATGCTGGGCTGACAATGTCCCTGGCCAAGACTGGGTACCTTGCCTCATCGAATGATTGCAAGAAGGAGATCACCCTGCTGAGGAGAGAAGACCAACCCACAGTTCACGAACTCCTGAAAGATTTAGGCTTGGACTCCAGTGGAGGTCGACGGAGGAGGATTGGAACGCAGCAAAAGCGGATTCTCAAGGCAGGAAGGCGAAATGCCAAGCTGTCCCATTTGAAGATCAAGGCCAGACCCATCCGGATTAGAGTTTGGAAGACCTCTGTACACTCTGCGGCATGCTATGGTTTGGAAGCTCAGGGCATTGCACCACAGCGCCTGCAAACGCTTCGAACACAGCTGGCAAGACATGGAGGCCTCCAGAAAGGAGGCAGTGTTGATGTTGTGTACGACCAGAATGAGAAGCTGCAAGATCCACTTGCCACGGTGGTTGAGAGACAACTCAAGGCCATGCACTTGCTTGTCCTCAAATGGCCCCCGGAGCAACTTGCTGAACTCCACACTGCCTGGAGAATTAGCTGGAGAAGATTGAAAGCAGCGGCTTATCCTTGGATGGTGGTCACTGGACCAATGGCAGCACTTCAGGTCTATATGATGGACATGGGTTGGGATGCCAGTTGTCTCAATGATTGGGTGCGTGCTCAAACTGGCTTGCTGCCAACAGCCCAACTCAATTTAGAGTTCCCTTGGCCCTATCTTCAAAGACAGCTGCAGCAAGAACTTGCAAATCAAAGGGCGCGCAGGATCCAAGAGTTGGAGCATGCCTTTCCCCTGATGAGAAGGCCTGACTGGAGCATATATCGGAAGGCAATGAAGCAAGCTTCACCAAGTCAGAAAGTGGCAATCAATGCATGGACGCAGGGTTCATTGAGGGCACACTATGGTGGTGAGAGGATGATGTGTCCTACGTGCCAGGTTCCGGTGAGCATGAAACACCTGGTCTGGCAGTGCAACTATCACAAGGATGAGTTGCCGCAGGAGTGGAAGCAAATGATTGCAGCCAATGAGAATACTATGCTCTGGGCCAGGGGGCTCATTGATCAGCCGGCCTTTGATCCATGTGAGGGTGCTGATTCCTGTGAAGTTGATGGCATCTTCAGTCATGGATGGCCTGTGAGGATTGGCCCCCATCAGCGGTTAGCCATTGGTGTGCAGCAAGCCAGCAAAGACCCGAGGGTGAGGAGATATGCTGTAGCGGTGGTGGCAATGCAGTGGCAGGTTGATGCATGGCAAGTCATTGGGCAATGCACTGCCATCGCCCCAGGGCACAGCACTGAAGCAAGGGCATGGTTCTTTGGCTGTTGGCTGGTCCTACAAATGGTTTTGGGCAGGCATCAGCTAAACATACCTCACCCAGCAGGTTGGACGGCCATCCAAAAAGGTGCGGCAGGCAGAGTGGCCCCTGATCTGTGGCATAATTTGCCAGATGATGAGTGGAAGAGGCTGCAGCTGCTTCAAGTGCCGTGGAAGCTGATGAAGAGTCAGGCCACCCATGACCGGGGCAGGCAGCAGTACCTCCTGGCAAAGCAACTGGCAGTGCAGAGGGCTCATCGAGAACAGCCGAAGTCCCTGGAACAGGAGTTGGTGATTGAGGACCAGCTGCACTTGGAAGTCTACATGACTGCAGCCAAGAGGATCAGCAAAATGCTGCAAGACAAAGAACACTATATGAATGGCAAGTTGGAGCCTGTGCCTGACAGCGGTCCTAAGGAGACCAAAAAGAAGCCACCACAAGGTCGATTGGCCCTTCTTCGCCAGCTGACGTTAAGGGAGAGACAACCAGGCACCCATGAGTGGGAGATTTACAAGGCTGGAATCCAGTGCAAGCACTGCAACCGCAAGATAAAAGGCTGTGCGACGCATGCAGAGATTGCCCATCAACAGGACACAGTTTGCAGCGGGTTTGCAGCACGAACCATGGAGCAACAGATGCGGGAGTTGGTGGACAGCTCGGACCTTCTAGCAGAAGGCCACCCTGGACATAGATGGGTTCTGCAAGGCAGCAAATTTGGGTGCAAGCAGTGTTGGGAGAGCATCCCACGGCGTAGCAGCAAGCATCACCTTCAACAGTTGCTTGCAAAGGACTGTGCCACAGGCCCTGTTGATGAAGCTGGCCTCAACTTGAGACTTCGCATCCACACCAGTCATTGTCTTGTGAGAAGAGGCAGATGGGTTGAGTGCCAGCAATGCCTCAGAAGCAGCCGGGCGGTTGATGGCAGGCTGCAGCAGTGGGTCCATCAACACTGCGTCAAAGCAAAGGGCCAGCAAAAACTTCACTTTGGGCCCAGAAGTTCGGAGAGCTAGATGCTTGGAGGTGGTTGCAGATCCCAGGTACAAGGCGAAGAGAGCCTTGCCTGGTGCCACTTTTGGCCTACGGGCTGTGGCGTCGCTAGAGCACACGCAAAAGAGCCGAGAAAAAAAAAGACAGACAGAAAGAAAAATGACAAACACAATTGTTACTGCAAGGCTGACCCGATATTGCCGTAAAGAAACGTGAGGTCTACACAGACCACGCATAAAGGGCCTTGGAGACTACAAACTAATTGTGCCGCTGAAAGACTACTCAACCTCTGTACTGTATAATGTCTGCTTGCTTTACCCGGATGCACCAAAGAGCTCAGGCAGATTTTCGTCAGTGTGAATCATGATCACATCTTGGTCATCGCTTCGGCCAAGGAAAAAGACACGGCTCGACAGACACCTACAATGAGAGGCAGGGAACCGAAGGACATTAAAACTCCGATCGACGCAATTTTCTCTTGGACGCTCCGGCTGCAACCTACAGCTGGGCTGAATCCTCTTTGCGACCGCTGCAGTGCGACCAAACAATACTTTACATCCTGATTCCTGGAATTAGCACCTTTGTCTGTGAGGGAGGCCAGTAATTGAAAGTGCCTCCCCGTGCTTTGTCGGGAGCAACAGGGAAGCGGGTCAAAACAAGGTGTGAACCTCCTCATCTCCGTCCTCACACTGTGTTGTCAGCTTCGCTGGCCAGTGGGAGGTCCGCCAAGAAGTGGCAAAGCCGAGCCAGACATTTCCTGTGAGGCCTAAGAAAGATTGCCTAGAAGCATTTTAGGCCTTTTAGGCGCAATCCTTCAGGTACGTGGAGCCGATGCTATTCTCGCCCAAAGCACACTGCTGAGCTGGAGCCGGACAAGTGTTCCTGATTCCACCTGATCCCCACATATCCTCATCAAATATCCGGACCGGTGCCCAGATCGTTGCTCAACTGTCTGCCAACCCCGTCAAATTCCCGCCGCCTGCACCCCATCCGTGAAATATACGTTCGCACACTCTGAACCCATTTCTGAACTCTTTTGGAGTCTCATTTCTCCCAGAAACGCCATCTGATTCTTGCGATCTGCGACCCATTGCTTTGAAATACCGCGTCTTCTCACAACCTCTTTCCCACTGCATGCAAAATACTACAAATCGCTGTACCAGCCCCAATCGCTGGATGACCAAAGCTGTGCGGCATTGCTTCCAAGTTGGGGAAACGCACATTGTCAACGCTATGACACGAGATGCTTGACAACCGAAGAGGTTGCCCGAGCAATTCCTTTAACACAACAAATTAGCACACACACAAATGGTGCAAAATGTTGCGTAGTCATAGTTTGATGAAACGCAAAACAAAGCAAACGTTTTCGCTCGAATAGTCCTCTATGTATTTTGAAACAGCCTCTGCAGGTGCCCCAAGCCTTGAGCTGTACAATCCACCATGCAAACAATAAAAAATAAACTGCAGTTCTACAATAGTTCTTGAGCACCGTCCCTGCATGTCTAAAAATGGTAAAAAAGAGCAGCACATGTAACTTGAGGATGCAGCTGCTGCATTGCTCCGCTCCAAAGACCAAAATCAACACCCGAGCCTCAAACTAGCAAGGATGAAATCAGCACGTGTGCCTCCTACCGACCTGCACTTCTGGCCTTGACAAACTTCAAGACTCAAGACTGAACGGCATTCCAAGTTTGATCATTGTTTGCCTCTATGTCCTACGACATATACGATGTTTCCATACGATGCTGCACCACATCCCAATGCCCGCCACTTGTCTTCGACTTCTCGTTCTGGTTCTGCAATTCTCTTACCCGGGCAATCATAACCTTCGACCTGAGGCCGAGCTTAAACTCCCAAACCGGGAAAAAGACAGAACGTCAAACAATTGAGCAGCAAACGGGTTCTGCACATCCCCAGTTAGTGGACGTGCAATGACCTTACGTTGGCTCTCTGGACCTGAGTTTGACCAAGGTGCCAAACACAGAAAAAAAGAGTCGCTACTGAGAGTACTAAGAAAGTTGCTCAGGGTGCGAATCTTCAAGGTAGCTTCGGAATTTATGTTGTTTTCTTCGATGAAGCGGTCCACCTGCCAACAATAACAATAACTCAGTGGGCCGAATTGAAAACTGCTCTGGTGGAGCATGGTGGAGCCTCTGGCAAACGTACAGGTGTTCGTGAGCGCTCCTTTTCCTGGAAGCACAAGCGCTAATCCGATCGAAATCTCCAAAACATTCAAAGCATTTAAGCTTGTCACACGACCCCGCGAGCGCCCGCGTCGACGTCCACCTGCGCTGCGAAGCACAAAGCTTGAACTGGAAACACTCGGTTGCAAGTTGCAACGAGAAAGAATGCTATTAGTTAAGTTTCCCCAAAAAACTCGAGCGCTATCCTGCGTCCAGTAGGTCCAGCTACTAGCTACCTCTCTAGCGGCCTACCCCCCCGCCAAAAAGAAGAGGAAACCACTGAGTGGTGGACTTCTTGGACTTCGTGACCTTCTTTTTCCTCCCATCCTGCCGACCATAAACCCACAAATGACTTTTCAACTGGAGAGGCACTAGGCACTACTAGGCATTCCAGGAAAACACGAGAGCGACTTGGCTTGCAATCTTGACAAGAACAAACACATCGCAATCTTGCTTCACTCAGACTCCCCCGAATGCGCACACGACTGGGCTGAGCACTCCTGTAGTCACACAATCCTTGTGAGGACCTCCACCTCAGTGATTTGGCGTCTCAAAGATCCCGGTCTTGGCGACCGTGTGTCTCTCGGTCTGGCTCGAGCTACTTTTTCAAGGGCAATCTGTGCAGGTTCCCTTCTGCTTTGGATATGCGAAGGGTTGCTGGTTTTGTTGTGAAGAGTGTCAGGAAGAGCGTGCTTCTCAGCTGTTCCACAACAAATGCCATCCAGCAAAACAAGAAAACGCACCGTCAAGAGACTCCGCAGCACATCTCAGACGCTGACCCCACGAGCCCACGTTTGGCTGTTTCAATCAGAATAGATATTGAAAGCTAAGCAGTGAGAATGAATGGAAAGCGCTCTGTTTTAATCTCTTCATATTGCCTCCGCTGCTTGGCTGCTGAGGTTACTTTTGATTTTGCAAGTCTTGGTTGCCGCAATCACAGTAGCTTGATCGGATCTGATCCAATGTGAAAACATTTGAGCCTGAACACAAAGTGCCGGGAAATCCACCTTTTCACGACGTATTGAGCTGCACAGTCATGGTATCCCATCAATGCATTTCTTCGATTTTCTTGCGACTCGTGCTCAAGCAAAATTCAACCTCATCACGCAAAAAACATCTTCTCAAGTCCCTTGCGAGCGCCACTTTTCCTACAATGTCTTGTCTGCTCCAGTTGATAATTGTTGACTGGCATTTGTAGTTCGTTTGAAAACACGTGTGCATCTGGTTGGCACCACCCTGATTCAACATAATTGGTTCGTCATTTGTTGGAAAGGCCGCGGATTTTTTAGCTGGATATTTTTTGGTTTTTATTGGTACATTGATTTCTAGGGCTTCAGTCTTCTGTAGTTCTAAAGAGATTGAAATTAATTCAATTTGATGTTCAATTAGTTTTACCGTTGTTAATTTAACATGTCCTTTTACATGTCTTCGTATTTTTTGCTAAACTTCCTTGTAATATCTCTTTTCAATGGACATGTCTTCTTTGGATTTCCTTTGAAATGTCTTTGCAATTTCACTTTAGGTGTCCTTTAGCTTCTTTAACATGTCCTTTTCATGTCCCGTCTAAATTTATTAATTCTAACTTGTTTTTGTGAAATGTCCTCTTAACTTGCTTTTCCTTTGATCTTTAAATGTCCTTTGAAGTTTTTAAAGTTCCTTCTTAAAATGTCCCTTCAAATGCCCTTTCAATTTCCTATATTCCCATGGTTCTTCTACATGTCCTGTTTTTTCTTAAATTTCTTAAACTGCCCTTATATGTAAATAGCCTTTTACATTTGCTATTGAGTTCCCTTTTACATTCCTTTAAGAATTCCTTTGCAATGTCTTTTTGAATGTCCTTTCAGCTGTCCTTTTAAATGTCCTTTTCAAGGGCTGCGCGTGTTTCGTGACATGTGGACGCTTGAGTGAGACCTAGATAGCTCTACCCGAAACTATTTCTACGCTTAAACAATAACAGCGGGAGGAGCGCGGGGAGGGCGCAGCGCCTCCCCCGCAATGCAAATTAGTCACAACAGCAGTCTGACCGGTTCATAACCATGGCACAGTTGGCTGGTTTGTGGTAGTGTAACTTGGCACGACCAAAGACCGATGTCACGGAGTTTCCCCAATGAATCTTCCTTTGACAACTGCATTGGTCTCTGCGCTGGGTATCTGGGCAAAGTTTTGCAACTGCATTCCTTTCTTCCTGCCTTCCTGCCTTCCTTCCTCCCTTCCTTCCTTTCTTCCTTCCTTCGTTCCTTCCTGCCTTCCTTCCTCCCTGCCTTCCTTCCTTCCTCCCTTCCTCCCTCCCTCCCGCCAGCTAAGCCAAAAAAAAATATACAACTAAAAAAACAAAATATACCACTAAAATATACACCCCGTAAAGAATACTTGAAAGATCGTGTGTGAAGATGGGAAACAGAGTTAAGAGACTGGATTCCGCTGGAAGAGATTGACTAGGGTGTTTTTCCAATTGTTCTGCTGACAATGTGGTTCAAAAAGTATCCAAGCGTTTCACATGTTTGCTTCAGAAATCCTGTGTTGTTACTTTGTCAATGCGCTGATAGGTTGGCGGGTTGAGCGGGTCAGCTGAAGCCTAACCTAAGAACATTGGAAAAAGGAAGGAGGACACACCTTGCTCATGATCTCTCAACTCAAAGGGGTTGGCATGCAGAATGTTCATGCGCGACGGCCTTTGGGTTTTTGGACAGGCTTTCCTCAATTCGAATTGTGGGCACCTCGCCACAACACCCTCCGTGAGTTCAAGGTTTGAGCCAAAGCTCCTTGGACGCATGGGTTGAAGTCCCCGCAGGCTGTGTCGCAACCAATGTGATCATTGGGCGAGGTGCGGAGCTGGCAAGTTTCGAATCGGGGCGACAAGAGCGGCAATGGAAAGACATACAACCGTCTCAACCCGCGAGAGCAAGTCGAAAATGAAAGACATACATCGCACATCACCAGAGAAACCCACTCGCGTTGGCTGGCTTTAGCTAGCATCCGATGGAACTTTCTTGGCAAACCTGTTTTCACCAGCAGAAATCTTTGTCCACTTTCAAAGCGGTTTCCGCTGGTCTGCTTGGGTGGATCTTTGAGGCAAAAATTGGTCTTCACGTGCAAATGCCAGTCGCCCTTGGCGCGCATGGCAATTGGTCTCAACGAAGCAATCTCATCTCACAAGGCAGACATGATTGGTCCAAGCGACCATCGCTGTCCACAACTCAAACACCAACCAACACCAACTGTTTCACAAACTTCCTCTACCAGGTACAGTCTACCCTATGTATGTCATATTGTGTCATCATTCCAATTTGGCAACTCTTCCAGGGATAAACGGTTGTGTGGCTTAAAAGGTAGTTTTGACGACAACTTGCCCTCAGCCTGTCTTTGGGCCCGGCCTTTCAAGAAAAACCTTTGTGTTCTCCAAAATGGTAAGGGTTGGTGGATGCGGTGTCACGTTGTCAAATGTATTGGCAATCCCATCCAGAACAACACTGCTAGATTGGACTAGGCTAGAACGTGTCGCGCGGGGGATCCCTCACAGCAGGCTCGAACTAATGGTTGCCATGTGTTTGATGTCGAATTCAAACCCCTCTCTTTGCAAATCGAAGGAGGCTCCTAACCCACCCTGTTTCTCTTGGCCGTCCGAACCCGCAGGGCCAGGCAATGAGATGTCCAAGTAATTACCTGGCTAATCAAATCTAAAATTTCTTCTGGAAATGAGGTTTGTCTACGCTACATGCAACCCAGGAAGGGGACCAAAACAATTCAAATCAAACCGATTCTTTCGCAAAACCCCATCGCCATCCTAGTGCAAACTTTCGATGCACGCGTTGAGCCCACGATCCTGGATTGTAGTGGAGAGGGAGTTCTAAACCATGGTGGCAAAATTTGGTGGGCCTCTTACCTCAAAGATACCAACACACATGCCGAGCACAAATCCAGAAATTTGAGCTTGCGCGGCATCTACACTGATTTACACGATCTAAAACTCAGCGGAACTGTACACTTGCTGCTGTCGCCAAAGCGCGATCATTTTGGACAGGAGGCCCTCATGGCGGCGAAAGCAAGATCTGAAAGACTTCTTTCTGAGTTCATGGAATGAAAAATCAAGAGCCAACCTGCAGTTACTCCGGTTTCACATGGACTTTCTGGAGTAAACTATATATTGCAACGAGTGGCCAGAATCTGAATCAAGCGAACAAGACTTTCCGGAGATCAAAGGAATACGTCATTGCTTAAAGCAAGAAAAACAGCATCTCTTCCAACCGTTCCAGCCTTCACCCGGACAAGGCTTTTCTTTGTCTCCAAGTCCACCATCTTCTCGCGCACGTTGGCACCCGAGACTGGGGATGCAGTTGTGGCTATCCGCATGATGGAATGAGTGCGATCCATGCCTGGGTAGGGCTGCAATAAAACCCTTTGTGTCGCCTTTTGTCTCGAAACCTGAAGAGAAAGAGAGAAGACTTTGAGCTTGTTCTTCAGTTTTGCCGTCAGAATCGACAGAATCCAGAAAAAATCGACCTTTCTTTCATTCGAGGCCATGCGGGTTTCATCGCTCTATCCGTCCAAGGTGCGATAGCGCAGGATCCCAAAACTCACCCATGGCCAAAACTCAGCAATCGTCTTTCCTTAGAAAACCCAACCTTTTCCGAACCATTGAGACATTCCCAGGTTTCTCAACTTGGAAAGCCCCAAAAGAGTCACAAAAAGCAACACGCTGAAGTCGTGAATTTTGCATGGCTGAAGTTCTCTGAAATTCGCCTGCGCTGAGGGATCCAAACTATTTGATTCTGATTTCCAAACTGAAAACTGAGGGCCAAATGGAGCCCACTTGGCCACGCCCACAAAGATAGCCGTCTCTGCCAAGTGTCCCATCTGGTGAAACATCACGAAGAAGGCTACAGCGCGTTGTAAGGAGGCAATTCTACTCTCATAGAGCATCATGGATAAACGCTGGGACTCGGTCATCTTGAACTGATCCTTCTCGCTCCAAACTCGTTCAGAGTCGCCCGAAACCCGAATACATGATTAAAGCCATCTTCAATAATTCAAATCGCATGCATCGCTACTAGTAACGTATATGTTACTTTCTCCTTGGCAGACATGTCAGAGTTGATGAGCCGAGCACCGAAGATGCGCTCAGTCGATTCCTGAATGTTGAAGTGGTCCATGGAAGAAGGCGAAGTGTTACGAGCCAGCTGGGCATATGACATCAAGCTCACAGAATCCAGCTGCAAAATGGCTTTACATTCTGATGGACTCAATGCGCCATTGTAGTTTTGGTCAAAGCGATCAAAAACTGCTTTGAGATCCTTCCGGTCAAGATGGTGAGTAGGCATAAACTCCTTGAAACCGCGTTCGAAGTCCTTGAAGGAGACTTGCCCGTCGCTGTCTTTTTGTAAACTCGCCAGCATTGTCTCAACCGAAGAGCTTGCTATCCTCTTCTTGCTGGTGTTGCTCAAATCCTCTCGCAGCTTGGCCCACAAGTCGTTGGACTCGACTGAATCAGCCAAATTGCCAAAACAGCCTTGCAAAGCTGTAGCACTTTGCACACCTTTGGGAGAGACCAGTTTTGCCATATATTGAAGAGAAAGCAAGACATCAAACACAGATAAGGGCAATTGCGGCAAGGGTGTATGATTTCAAGCAAAAAAACAGTTGAGGGCCCCTTTACCGTCTCCCAACCTGGTGGCAATAAATGCTCACACAAGAACTGTGGCCTTGAGCCTTGCAAGCAGACATGATGAGCTGTGAGAGGCAGCTTGTGAGGATTGTGTCCAATAGTGATGCTCTCGCAAGTCACTCCCAATGACTGGATGCTGCTGGCCTGCCGGATTCCCACACTTAGATGGTTGCTCGCAAGAGCTAGGATCGGTACGAAGTCCCCCTTGACTGGAAGAAAAGTGTACGAACCGAAAGGCGAGGAAGTCCGTAGATTCGGAGGTGTTTAACAAGTTGTTTTGGTGCACTAGCGGCTTACTGCAAAAACACAGAATTAGACAGCTTGGTCAACAGTTCCACCGGCAATCTTAGCAGGTACGTCTGGCCGATCAGGCGAGATATCCGCATGTGCTGTGGCCGCTTTGTTGGACCATCGCTCACAGCACATGGATGGTCCCCCTGCTGCTGTATAGTAGGGAATTGTTAGAAACAGTCCAGAAGTAAAAGGATCAGAACAGTGGTAAGGTATGGATTGAGAAAACCTTAGAGACAGGCGTTGACACACACAGATGGCCGTGGTCGGCGCTCTCTGTGGGGGAGAGAGGGTTCGAGGAAAACCTCAAAAGTGAAGCAGCTCGGAGCGCGGACCTTTTCGGAGTGCTTGCCGACAGCTGTGAAGATCGTGTCCTTTTTGGACACAAAGGTTTGCTAGTTGAGCGAGCGCTCCTCGACAGCCGAGGACGGGTAGGTGTACCTGCAGAGATGCGCTCTGGAGTGAAAACCTGAAAGTCGTAAGCGTGTAGAACCAGCTGAGGCGTGATCGCGAATTTTCCATGAGGCATCGGGTGGTAGTCCGTTGGTGAAGGTCCACGTCAAAGCCAAGAAGATGCATGTCCTCCACTGGTTCGAGCTCCACTGGGTTGCCATAGAAGTCGGGGTGACCGAGGGTCTGTATGGCCAGGTGGGTGAGGAATGTCCGGTTGAAGGCTATGAAGCGGTTGTCCACGTAGCGGTAGTAGACAAAGTGGATCTCGGTGTGGTCCGTCAAGGAGTGATGGAGCTGATGCCATGAGCGCTCGATGAAAGTGATGGCGACATTGCACAGCGCAGGAGAAAGCTGGGAGCCAATCCCGGCTGCAGGAAGTAGAGAGTGCAAGCCTTAAAAATGCAAGAATCGAGAGCTAGTGCTACGATAGTGGTAATGTCGCTCGTGTCCAGTGTACGTTGTGTTGGATGTTTGCGATGATGGCGGCCGATGTGGGCTAGCTGGATTGGATCGCCGGTTGTGTGGGTGTCAACGGTGATGGTAGGAGTATCAAAGGTATGTTGCCATCTGTTGATCAAGCTTTGAACAGCATCGATTAAGCGATCTTGAGGACTGAGTTGAAGAAACCCACAAGGTCATCGTTCACAGCGTAGAGGTCCACATGGTCCCGGGGTGTGATGAAGGTAGTCATGGAAGTGGTCCTGGTGATTGAGGTAGGAGCCGGTGAATCATAGCGTTAAGGACATTGGATGTGACGCGCAACAATGGCCCGTAGTGTGACTTGAAGTAGGAAATGATAGCGCGGCCTTTCTTCCATTGTTTCTTGGCCTTCAAGTGAACAACCCCATAGGGCATGTTGAAGTTGGTGATGAAGCCCCATTTGTATTTTCTGCGCAAGTGGGCGGGGTAGGTCTGTTGTATGATGCTAGAAATGGTCTGGTCGGTATCGTCTGGCAATGGTTGGAAAAGTTCTGGTGATTGCCATGTGGCCAAACAGCCATGAAAGTAGAGGGCAGAAAATGCGGAGATGTTGTAGTTCGTGATCAGCATGGTGGAGGACGACGGTGTCGCCCAAAAATTCTTGCAATTGCTTGATGGATCTGGCGGTGAATCTGTCTTCGTGTTGTAGGTGATGTAGATGGTTGGTCCAGTGTGCGGTGAGAAAAGAGTCGGCATAATGGACCAAAGTGGTTGGCAATCCGCGATGTTTCAGCCATTTGGTGAGGCTACGCCGAAAGGTATCCCAATAGCGATGCTTGGTGGCAAGAGGAGGCTGCGAAGGTGATTGCAGCCACACGGGAGCTGGTCGGCTTGGGGGGTTGCCCAATTTGGTCTTCCCATCCACGGTGCTTTTGGAGACGACTGCGTAGAGTAGGATGTGCTGCTTCTCGTAGACGACGCGTATAGGGAGGTGGAGGGGAATGGCAAAGTGTTTATGTTGGTTGAGGATAGTGGCGAGCCATCTTTGGGCGTCGGCTTGGAAGTTGGAGTGTGCTAGGAACGGTATGGTCAAAGGAAGATTGCTCTTGGGTGGTGTGAGGTTGCGAGAGCTCAAGGCTTGGTTGATAAGGCGAGTGGCCCGACTGCGTCCTGGTTCTTCGAGGCTGGTGGCCATACGACGGACGGCGTAGACTTCAAGGTCACTGTATTTGCCTGAGCGGAGTTGGCGCGCAGCTTCAAAAGATGCATGGGTGTGTTTTGTGAGGTCGCGAAGCATTGTTTGGAACGAAAAGTGGAGGAGGGGAAGTAGAATAATAAAGCGGCTAGGTGGAGCAATCCCACGGCATAGATGGCTTCAGCGCGATCAATGTAGCTGGCATGGTGTTGGACGTGGGCTAAGGCTTTGTGTATTGTGCGTATATGGTGAAGTATGGTGTGAGTGGGTCCTCGGCTGCTGAGCAATGCGAGTCAACAAGCCATGGCGGCCCCGGTGGCCACCAGTTGCTGCAGCCTGCGGGGATTCACTATTTTGTGACCTTGAGGAGCGGGATGCCATAGCGGACTGCAGCTTCTTGGAGTTGGGCTTCGGTGGCGCCGGATGACTGGAGGAGTTTGAGGATCTCATTGGCGGAGTCCTGGATGGCCTCATCGAATTGCTGATGTATTGGGCGTTCCATTTTGTAGGAACGTCGTCTTTCAACGATGGGTGATCGGGTTGAAGCACTTGGGCCAGGGTCTGTGGTTCTGAATCGGCCGGTGGCGTGGGCGCTGGCGTGGCCTGCGCTGCGGGGCCAGCCAGGCTGGGGGAGTGTCTGGTGGGTAGATGTCTCCCGCGCCGTCGAGGAGGTGGGCGCTGTGGTGAGAGATGTAAGCCATGTCCCTGTAGTTTTTTTGGGTCGCTGGAGTTCGGCCTCTCTTGTCATGTAGTCGGGCTGGTGCAATCCATGTCCGCGCAGTAAGTTCCGGGTCACGGTAAGGAAGAGATCCAGGTGGGCCCAAGGGTCGAGGAAATTCAAGATCGTGGCCTGGGATAGGGTGTACGGCGCCTGGTGGACGGCGTAACCAAAAGCTGGAACGCGGCAGACCAGTCCTGGAGTAGATCGTGTCCTGGAGGTCATCGACGCTGTAGGGGGCTTCTTCAATGCGGTTGATAGGAAGCGTCGCAGTGATGGTGCTAAGTGAAGTCTGCATCAACAGGCGGAGGTCCAGTTCAAAGCGTACCGAAAGCAAATGAGGTACATGTGAAAGTTCTTGGTACGGGTGTCGCAAGGCTTCGGAGTCGGCTTGAATCCGCTGGCGTGCGGGGTAAGGGAGACTGCGATGGGGAGCCGTCATGGGAGGAATGGAACGGTGGTAGTGGGAGCAACAACTGCAAGATTAGCCACAAAGTTTGAGCGAAAGGCTATGGGTGATCCTACCAAGAAAACATGGGGTCTTGGGAGAAATGGTTACTCGCAGGGTGGGAGCAGCGGCATGAGGGCCGGCAGCGCACTGTGTGTCGACAGAAAGGAAGGTCGGTCGTTGGCGAGACGAGGATCGTCAAAGTGAAGGATCATCAGCATCCTGCGTGTCAAGTCCAGCTGGATCTGAAGGAATGTAGAGCGTAGGCCCTTGAGGAGACAACGAGGATGGAGCTTGTGACATAGAAGCCGTTGCTGGGGAAGGCATAGTGATGTTGGATGTGTCCAGATACATAGGGGAGATCCGCAATACGAGCCGTCTGGTCGATGTGGCGAAGGCTGTAGTTGATGGATCGTAGACCGAATGAGCTGCTGCTGATCGCGAGGCGCCAATGTTTGGAGAAGAGGTGCGCCATCGAGCTGCATGGTCATCAGGTGTTGCGCGACCGAAGTGAGGTTCTCATCCACGGATGTGTCAGGGGAGCATTTCATGCCCCCTGGGCTCCTGAGGAGAGGAGAGAGAGGCTTCCTCGTGCAATTGCGTTGGTGCTCACAAAGGTCCCATATAGGTGCCGAGGCCGTGGCGGTGAGGACAAACTGCCAGTGTGTTGTCCAGATCCTATAATTTTGCGGCCAGAGTCCCATAGAGGTTGGACCAGTGTCTGGATGGAGGTCGACGTAGGTGCTGGGCTGGCCGACGAGGTCAGACAAGAGGTGAGCCGGCAAGTTCCCTGTGTGATTCCATTGGCGAAAAAACCACAGCTTTTGGTCGCCGAGCCATCGAGAGCACCATTCGTCCCATGGTTTGAAGTCTTTGCGCCGCTGGAACCAGGCTCGTTCATCACTGTGTTCAACAATGCGTCCTCCTGTTCGGAGTATAGTGGGCGAGTCGGGGGGAGGAGGCGTGGACCAAGTGCCCCAGTGTGGTCCGTGAGAGTGAGCAGCTGCAGAAGGGTGTGGTCGAAGTAGAGGTCATCTCTTCCACTGGCAACACACTCAAAACGAGGCGAGTACGCAATGAAGTTTGAACGGCAAATAGCTGCGGGTCAAGGGGTTCCAATATTGATAGGAGCAAGGTGTGGATCAGGGAGGGATAAAGTGGGTCAGTGGGGGGGCGTATGGACAGTGAATGATAGGCACCAAACAGTGGAGCGATAGCGACATTTGTTCGAGGATGGCTGCGGGGTGAAACGCGCCGGTCGCCAAACCCTGGTGGTGGCGGTCAGGGTTTCTCAGGAGCGACGTCATGGAGCAGGAGCGTCGGCGGAGGGTATTGCTGCCTGTGGAAGATCCATATAGAGGTAGTCGACGTCGTTGTCGACAAAGAAGGGCAAGACACGGTCGGGGCCGCCGTTGGAGGCCTGGTCAGTGATGTTATCTGAGGAGGGGCGATGGGTGCTGTCGCGGTGGGAGGACATGTACTCGATGGACGGCGTGACAAAGGAACTCGGTCAGGATGAGCCGGTCGAAGAGAGAGTGGCGGATCTGGCGCTCGAAATTTGCAGTCGGGTACCGAATCAAAGTGAAGCCAGATCACTGGCGGTCGAGGTTGATCTTGGCGTTGCTTGGGAGGGGGTGGGATGGCGCTGAGATGAGTTCGGAGCTGGTGTCGTCTGCTGGCGTCATGACAGGGGTTGCGCGATCTGGGGCGAGTGTGTGGTATAATAGGGACCGTGGGTGAGGGAGCTGAACTTGGAGCCGGAGGGCTGGGGTGCGTGACTGGAGAAGGGTCCCGTACTGTGGGATCGGCAGGAGCAAGTGGTGAGGGGACCACAAAGCCATGATTTTGGAGCAGCGTGGTAAAAGCCTGGCGAGCTTCCGGTGTGAGGGCAGCAACGGCTTGGAGAGCTTGATTCCATAAATCCAATGGTGTTGCCGTGGTAGGTGTCGCCGATGTAGAAGTACCTGGAGCAGTACATGCCGAGCGTCGCCATGGTGCATTGCGAATCGCTGGAGAGGGTGATGCAGTTGGGTCCGCCATGGCGTAAGCGGATGGAAAGGTGCAGTGACTCGCGGGGTAGAGCTGAGCGGAATCGTTGACTCGAAAGCTGGAATGTCTGCAGTGAAACACGAGAGCCGGAAAAAGTCATGGGGGTCAACCGTACAACATGGAAAGGTGGTGGAATCGCTGTGCAACTAGTGTATTTGACTGAGCCCGATCTAACAAAAGGCTGAGGGTTCAGAAGGCGCAGGTGAGGCTGTAGTTGTTTGACGTGGGGAGCGAGATGTGCGTCGTGGGCTGCCAGGAGGAGTCGGGTAGTTCAGAAAGTAGCAGAACGCGTAGCGAGCTTCTTGAGGAATTGCGGCCCATATGCGGTTGGATTCTGCAAGCGGCTCTGGGAAAGTGTCTATCGCAGGAGCTGCAGTTGAACTCGTCGTGAAGTCCCCACATGGAGGGCAGGTACTGGAGAGGTGGTACTGCTAGTATATGAGGTACACATTGAGGATTTGGGCGCAGCCATGGAAGGTGAATGGGGAACAGCAAGAGGCGGGGCCGTAAGTTTGAATGGAAACGGCTGCAGGGGAGGTGGGCAGGTCCGGGGAAAAAATTTTGGAGGAGGTGCAAGCCGCGGCGCGACATTCTTTTTTGCAAAAATTCTGTTCCGGGTGATGACTAAAGACACGGAGGAGTCTCCGGAAAACTGGCTACTGGATCCTGGCGACCATGTGTCGCTTGCCATAGGGAGGCATGGAGGCCGTCACGCCCAGCTGGAGAAGCGCTGTGGGAGGTAGTGCGGCTGGAAGTGGTCCATGGTGTTGAGGTCGAAGATGTTTCCGTACGAGCCGGTGGGGTACGGGAACGAGCACGGGATGCACTGAGCGGCTGAGGGTTGACATCGCTGTGTTGTGGTGTGGGCTGGAGCCAAATAACATCCCGTGGAAGAGCTGTAGGCGGACGAGCTCGTGGTGGTTGAGGGTCTGGAGGAAGACGTGGAGGCAATGTGTCCATGTATTGGACGTCTTCTCGGCCCCAGGTGCGAGTGAGGCTAGTTCATCATGAGGGATGTCTTGAACTTGTCGAAGAGCGGTGCGAAATCGATCTCGTAGAATGCCGAGCTCGAGGAGAACAATACGAAATTCGCGGTAGTGGTGGAAAGTTTCGCACGGTTCTTGTCTTGGAGTCGTGGAATGTAGAGAGAGAGAAATATTTCGTGTTGGTGTAGTCGTTCACGTCGGCCTCCCAATCGAAGGGGGTCCACTCCTCCAGGTCTTTGAGGTCGATAGCCTTGATGCCTGCGTTGGTGAGGACCTTGGCCACGTACTCCAGCATGGTTGAATTGGGTGGAGCAAGCTGATCGCATTGGTGGTGGAGGAAGTGAAGTATGCGTTTGTGGGCGCTGGTTCCATAGGTCTGCTTGGCCACATTGCGGTCGGTTGTGGTGTAAGGGCTGGGCGGTCGGCGAAGTGGGTCTTCGAGTTCTGGAGGCTTGACTGCTTTGGGGGGGAGTGGGTGTGAGATTGGGGGGGGACAGCCACGGTGTCTGAATGTCTGGGAGTGGATGTAAGCGTGTCTGAATGCCTGGGATTGGGAATGAGTTGAAGTGGTTGACGGCGTGGGGAGCGATTGCCCAAACTCCTCGCAAGGGTGGAGGGTGAGATGGCGGCTGGCCTGTGAGCTGGGCGTTGGGGTGGACCAGGAATCGGAACGCGGCTGGCAGAACTCTTGGAAGTGGTGGTGGGTTGCTGGCGAATGGAGGTCCGGGGGTACGTTGTGCTGGCGCCGCAGTGGAGGCCGGACGTGGGGGAGGATGTGTGCGGGAACGGTAACGTTAATGGATGGTGGGCGAGAGGTCGTGGCCTTGGCCTTGGTAGGCGTGTTGGGGGAATCGTGGGGTTGGATGTTGTGGGAGCGCCAACAGAATTGGAGTGGTATCCGTGGTGCCAGTGGGTGGGGTTGAGACTGGAGCGGCATCTGGAGACGTGCTGAGTGGGGTGGTGAGTGGCGGCGGTGGAGTCGGTGAAGGAGTCGGTGGTGCTGTGGGAGGAATGGCAGGCACGGTGGGTGTTGCCGGGGGGGGGAACTGAGGGATTGTTTTCATGGTGAGCTGGTACTGGTTGAGAAGACTCAATAGGGGAGCCTGTGCGCAGCAGCCTGTGGGGGGATCGCTTGTGGCCAGATGTGTGAGTGGGGTGGTGATGTAACAAGCATGGCTGGTAAGCCCCAAGTTGTAGTGGGGTCGGGCTGTTGAAGGGGATGCAACTGAGTCGAAGTGGGGATGGATTGGATCGGAGGTGGGAGCTGAACGATGTGGGCAGCAGGCATAGGTCCAAGCTGAGGTGGTCAAAGTCGATGTGTACTGAAGAGGTGAGTGGCTCATATGCGGTTGAAGCTGAGGGACTTGAAATTGCATTGCTGCTGGCATCGATCCATAAGGATCCGAAGGAGCCGTCAAAGACACGTGCATGCATGAAGATGTAAATCCGGATCAGAGTTTGAGTCTCAGTGAGCCCTACGGCGTAGTATCAGTGGTATCGAGCAATGACAGGCAAGTCAGAAGGAATCGAACGAAATGCCAAGGTGGAAGCAATCCCCAGGATCTGGGTCTATGCACATGCAGCGCCCCTCGGCGGGGATCACACCACAGCCCTCAGTGGGACTCTGTGGCGATACACACTTAGACGGTTGCTCGCAAGAGCTAGGATCGGTACGAAGTCCCCCTTGACTGGAAGAAAAGTGTACGAACCGAAAGGCGAGGAAGTCCGTAGATTTAGACGTGTTGAACAAGTTGTTTTGGCCCACTAGCGGCTTACTGCAAAAACACAGAATTAGACAGCTCGGTCGACAGTTCCACCGGCAATCTTAGCAGGTACGCCTGGCTGATCAGGCCAGATATCCGCATGTGCTGTGGCCGCTTCGTTGGACCATCGCTCACAGCACATGGATGGTCCCCCTGCTGCTGTATACTAGGGAGTTGTTGGAAACAGTCCAGAAGTAAAAGGATCAGAACAAACCTTAGAGACAAGCGTTGACACACACACACACACACGCCCACACACACATGTGCCAAAGACACGCGCAAACCACACAACAGGAGACTAGAAACTGCAATAAACCGTCAAACCTGACAAGCTGTTCCCAAGAATATCCTTTCTTCGGACACGACAAAGTGGCCATGCAACACTGCCTGGTTCACCGACAAGCACACCGATTGCTCAGCGCTGGTCAAAGCCACTAGACGTCCATCAGGTCGACCACAAGCCAACAGGCTACCTCGAACAACACGATGGGTCATTCGATGCACCAAGTGGTCCGCAGGGTTGGCTGAGAAAACGGCGAGCGCCGTGGCCGAGTAGGTGCACGCAACGAGCTTTGACAAGAATGCTTCAACACATTGAGCCACCCAAGGCACATCTCCAATCACCACTGTCCGCCCGGTCATCCTGTGGAGCAATGGTCGACACTGCAGCAACCGGATGCAAAAAATCATGATCTGCGGCAGGAAGATGTAGATCGCAGCATCTAAAGCTCTGGCGACATAAAGCAATTCCTGCCAAACTTGGCAAAACTAAGCACATGTTACAAAATGCATTTAGAGACTTCTAAGCCCAAACCCCAAATCACACCAGCGAGTCTTCAAACCCAAATGACCTGCGGGACTTTCTCATAGAGCCCAGCTTGCGTAGTAATGGCTGTGATAGGTGGTATCCCACAGGTCACCGTGACCGCCACGTACGCAGCGCACAAGATCCAAGCTCGTGGCGTCTCAAGCACATGCTGCGCCCACGCTCGGCCTCTCCTGGAGCGTTTGCAAGACTCTTGTAAGACTCTTGTTCTTGGGCTGCAAGGACACAACAAGCTAGGAGACATGACCAAGACTGCAGCGAAACGCAGCACATGTCGAGACACCCAAACACACCAAGGCTAGCAATTGAAAGGCCAAGCAGGCGGCGAAACGAAAGGGACCAAGCGGTCCAAGGGCAGGATATAGGAATTCTAAACTAGGAGCTAGGCGAACTGGGGAAATCCATGCTTCTTTGAAGTTTTTTTTAAACATTGCCAATTCATGTCTGGTTTGCCGAATCCGTGTGACTTTACTCAGAAAAGTTGGGACCCATGTCACATTATCAATCATGTCCAAACATCTGCTTCTGCTTCGCGTGCTGGCAGAAGCTGGAACCATGACAGTTGTCACTCAGGATATGCTTGGACATGTATTCTGCTTTTTATACTTTTGGGAACACAAACTGAATCTGGCTAGTTCAGTTGCAAGTGGCATCTACCTGCAACTTGCAGCTTGAGGTGGGATTGATACTCACCTCGGGCCGACATCTGGAGGCCAGCGTGACTAACTCTTGATTGACCAGTGATGTCACGTTTCCTTGCCGAGTCCTGCGAAGCTCTCGCTCAGTCTTTGACATCGACTTGTGGTACCCGACGATCTCCTGCAACGCCTCACTTCTGTCCGGCAACAAGGCAAAAACAACTAGAGCTTGCGTTCAGTATCAATTTGGGCCTCAATAGTCTTGGTCGATACTCTTGGTCACTGGCAAGGTTTTGGCTGACCCCACAGAAAACAACATGGACTTCACAAACCTGAATGCACACATGTGCTCGAAAACAAACGGCCAAACATTTTTTGACAAGCTTGTAGGACGCTCTGCTGGGGTACTTTTGTGGGGCACTCTTGTAGGTCACTCTTGTAAGCCACTTTTGTGGCACAGTCTTGAACCCTCCTTTGGCACATTTTGGTGCATTCGTAACGGGACAATCTTGTAGGGCACCTTGCAGCGCACTCTTGTAGGGCACTTTTGTGGCATGTGGGGAAACTCTCTTTGGGGACGTTTTGGGGCACTGGTGTGGGACAATCTTGTGGGACACTCAGGTGAGGCACGCCTGGCAGGTCACTCTTCTAAGGCATTCTTGAGGCACACTCTTGTGGTACAACTTTTCTTGGGCTCTTGTAAGGCACTCTTGTGGCGCAGTCTTGCAGGGCACCCTTTTGGGGAAAGTCCCCACGTGCACGTTTTTGCCTAGACGCTGAACACCGGACCCGTTTTTACATGTTTTCGACGTTGGTCATGTCATGGCATGACGTTGTTGATTCGCGCGTCTAGGACATTTGCCGGTTCAGTAACCAACCGTTCGGCAACTACGCGAATCAGAAACTACGTTTCAGCATCTATCCGATTCTGCAACCACGCGTCGGCAACCGCACAGTACGATTCAGCAACCACGTTTCAGCCACTACGCCATTCAGCAACTACAATGACAATGACCGACGCAGCAACCAAACTGCACGATTCAAGAACGCCGTTGCGGTTTCCAAAGCATTTGACATGAAAAGCCTGTAAACAGCGTGCGGTTTCCAATCCGCGTGGCCATTTTAGATGTTTTAGACACTCTTTTGGGACAATCTTGTGGGCCACTCTGGTGGGGCACCTGCAAGGCACTCTTGTAGGAGATTCTGGTGGGACACTCTTCATTTGCACTCTTGTGGCACTCTCTTGTTGGACACTGTTGTGGCATAGTCGTCAATGTTTTCTCCTTCGACACGTTTTGGGAAGCTCTTTTTGGGACGCTGGGCATTCTTGCACATTTCACTCTTGTGGGTCACTCTTGTAGGATACTCTTGTTGCGCCATCTTGGGGGATACTCTTGTCGGACTCTCGTAACAGGACACTCTTGCGGAGCATTCTTTTGCGGCCACAAATGATCCCGTTCACCAGCGACCCGCTGCATTTACAAACGCATGTTTCCGGTCCCTACTGGCACAAACACACGCACATGCGCACGCATGCCTCCCGTTGCCCACTGGCCACCAAGGCCGCGCAAATCCGCATGGCGCCTCGACGTCGGCATAATTTCACCGCACTGCAACCATGTGACATGCCACCACCCATCCCGCTCACCAACGCCACACCGCGCTTTCACACGCATGTTTCCCTTCCCCCATTGGCATGGAACATTTTTGCCCCACCGCATGCCACTTCTGAGCCTGGGCCTCCCAGAACTCAAAACCTGGACCTACTCCCCACACCACTTCTGTACTGGACAGCCCCAGAGTCTTGCAGCGCCACATTTGCAAAAATTCTGACCGCGGGGCTCAAACGACTCCCTCCAAAATTCACATGTGAACTCTCCAAAAACAGCGTTTCGCGTGCCTCCAAAAGTTACACAGCAAGTCTTCAAAACAAGCGTTTCGCGCGAGACTTCGTTCAAGAAAAGTTCAAGCCTCGAAAACGAGCATTTCGCACGACGCGCCCCCCATGACAACTCTCCAACACGAGCACTTTCAGCCTTATCAGAGAGAACACATCAAGCAGCCCTGCCAAGCAGTTTCGCAATCCCAGCCCCTCAAAACCACAACTGCTGACATGCAAACCCACTGGCGCAGCGACGTTCATCAGTTGGCCAAGCTTGTGCAGTAAGGTGGTCAGCAATCGGACATGTTGAGCTCATGAGTCCGCCATCAAGTGCGAACTGTCAAAACGAACATCACATCACTCTACCAGAAGCCTTCGTTACGCATTCGGGAAAAACACAGGCATGATGTCATCACTGAAAAACAACAAAGTGTGGGCGCAGCACTAAAACAAACATCCCAAATAAACAAAACGTTCGGCGTCCTGTGTTTCTATGTCTTGTATTTTTGTTCTTTGTTCTTGTAGAATTCAAAACAGCCTCACTGCCCCAAACCGCCCCCTGCCTCGATGTTGGTCCGATTCACATGCTCCAATTCGGCCAAATCTGTCCGAGTGATCACTGGTCCAGCGCTGTCTTTCACATCATCAGACAAAATGCGGAAGGCCAAGTACATCAGGATCTGAAGAATCAGGCACGAGTCATGAGAAGCGTTGACCCGTGCGGAAAGAAGTGCACCGGGAATTCAGAGGAGACAAAGAGGGGTTGCGATGCTCTGCGCTGTGGGAGGTGAACATACATGAACCTTGGAAGAATTTCCGAGACAATGATAAGCGAGCAAAGCAGTTTTCCAAGCATTTCCACGGGTCTCTTGGTACCTTTGCAACGCAAAACCGAACTCATCGAACTGCGAGAAAAACAGTGCGACGCCCGCCACGCCTGTGTCAGCAGCTGCTGTGTCGCGGCGACGGAGACGGAGCAAGGCTCAGCGGGGCGCCTCGCAAAGCGACAGAAGTGACCGATACGATGCTACGACTGGACCAAACAAACACGGAATTGAAACGGGCGACAAACAGTTACGGTGGTTTCTGTGGGTTTCAAAACGACCGGGTTGCCAGCACTTTTCTCTCAGTTTGCCGGGTTTTGTGTAGTTTGTGTAACTCTGTGACAGCCCAAACCCATGGATTTCTTGCACCTCCAGCAACTGACAAACAGAGCTTGCAATCGACTGCGTTGTACACAACTTTGACCCGTCCCTCTGTGAGACCAACAACCCATCGACATAGCACCATAGAGCACGGTGAACAAAGGGGTTGAAGATGAATCCATCAAGAAAAATGCCTATCTTGTGCTACTGTTGTGCTTTCAAACTATATTTTGTTATGTTTTGTTACTTGCTGTCCAAGCTACAGCGAGATGTTTGTGCTGAAGACATGGCTGTAGGTGCCAAGCGCGCGAAGCTGCTTACCAATCTGTGTATCCCACTCGGAAGTCACCACAAAAATCCTGGATGCGCAAAAAACAATAGCTCCACTAGGAACACATGGTCTTCAGAAAATCAACACTAAACAAACCCATCCCCATCTAGATAGACAGATAGATGGATGGATGGCGCCGGAGATTGCAGTTGCTTAAGTTGGCTCGCGCAGTGGCCATTTCAAAAGCGGGCCCCCAACCTCTTGGTCACGGCTTGGAGCAGTTTGGACACTGCCAATGATGCAAAAGTGCCCCCTGAATGACTGATGATGAGCACCACGCAATCGTGAAGATCCCAATTGTCGGAGAGGTCATGCCCCGTCTGGCACATCGAGAACCTCATCGCCGCGGCAAAACTTCAACATGGCTCTTTGCGCGGATAGAGCACGATACAAGGAACGGCCCGAAGGAAGGGCACCAACGCAAGGGAGGGTACAAAAACAAAAAATCATCCCTCAGTATCCGTCCGTGCAACTTTGCCTAACAAGCTAGTTCATCAGTACATGAATGCAATCTTTGCCCAGTTACCACAATCAGGGCTCTGTCCACAAGAGAACCTATAGAGCATAACAAGCAAGTATTGACCCCCACAGAAAATAGCGCAAATGGCCCGGATGATTTCACTGGGATTTTGGTGGATGGGAGTGTGCTGAAAACGTGACATAAACGTGAGCCCTAAAGACTCCTTTTCGTGGAAATTGCTCTCTTTATTACTGTAATGAAACTCCGCCACATCTCCAAGCTGCTGCTGACCACTAAGCCCCAGCAGTTTGTTGGCAGAGACGGTCCTCACGTTCAAATGCTTGAAGCAATGCGCCAAGTCTGTGGCAAACTGTTCACCAAGCCACAAGCTCACCTGTCAGGCGAACAAATGTTGGGCAACGCGCAAATCGCCTGTGAAACTGGAACCCTCTAATAAACACTGCTGCTACCCCGTTCACAAGCCTAGAAAGCCTAGAGCGAGGGTTGTGGACAAGGAGGCTAATTAATCTCTTTTGACACGAACTAACATCGATGCACAGGAACCCTCTATCAGCTCCTCATTTCCCCCAATCTCTTTGAATTTAGACTTGGTTCCAGCCAGGCAAACCTGCCTTATGTTCATCCCACCAATCAAGAAAGATGATTCAATCAATCCAATCCAAAGAATTGGGCCATACCGGTCTAATGGTTAGTCGATGGCTTTCTAATCCTCAATGACGGGACCAGTCTCACACAACCATCCAACTGTCTCTGGTTCCTATCCCTGGCGCCTCACAGCCTGTGACGAGAAGGTCAATGCCATCTGGCGCGCTTTGCCCACTCATCTTCTCACGCAATCTTGCAAGAAGGGCTCTACTCAATGACCTGAGAAGTACAGCAGTAACTGGTTGCACGCTTCCGCCAACACATCCCTCGCAGTAATCTAGGTTTGTCTTGGAGCGCCCCCACTACCCTTTGACAGTTTCAACTGAGGGCTTTGTTTGTCTTCGCTTTGTCTTCTTTTAGTCCCATTTGGATTGCGCTTTAACCCATTTGTTGCCTGAGAGAGAAGATCATAAGTCCCAACAAGCCAACTGGACGGAGTACAAAACGATGAAACCCTATCAATCTTAGTTTGGGGTGCCCTCAACCGTGTCCATCGCGATTCAATTGTGTGTTTGACACTACACTGCGCTGACCGAGGCTGAGAATGGCTAAGATGAGAACGAGGGGCATGGCCGAAGCGCGGTTCTGGCCTTCTCCCATGCGCCAATCTGTCTGGATGTTCTTGAGAGCTTGCGGGATCTCTTTGATGTCGTTTCCAACGGGATCAGGAAGCGTCTTTGGAAGCGGCAACACCAAAGGATTTTCTTCAAGAGGAACGAAAAGCTGCGCCATAGACGAGAACGGCTTGTCGTTCACGGAGACCACCTTCAACTTGCTCTGCATCATCGGTTGAACTGCATAGAAAGGGAGTGTTTCACCTCAGGTTGATGGTTGATGCTAAGATCTTTAAGTACCATTTCAAACACTGAACCCAGTCTGCGACCAGTTGTGCAGTCTCAGTGTTTGGCACCGAAGTTATCCATAACCGCAAATTTGTAATTTCAACCTACCAACAGCCTTTTTGAGACTCGACCCATCTTTTTCTCGCAAAAACTGGTTGGGACGTTGCAGATTTGAACCTTGATCGTGCATACACATACGCACATACTTTGAAAATGCCCAGTTTCAGATTCAACAATTATGCGATGATGCGAGATCTAGAAACATCTTGTCAACATTGTGGGTGCGACAGTGGGAAATAAGCATGCTTGCTTCTTGATTAGGAATACGTGTCGCAAGAATCCTGGCTGTGGCGTAAAACAAGTCTCTCACCTATGTAGCCTATACGGCATTTCATCTTATTGAATCGCTACTGTTCAGTGAATCAACTGGGGCCAGGGAATTTAAGGATGCAAGTGGCCACAAATGCTTGTGCAGTTCATAACGTCTCTGGACTGGAGTCAAATCAATTGTCTATAGCTCTTGCAATGTTTTGCCAAGAATTCTATTAAAACTGCGTGGAAAAGGAACAACCATGCTTCGACTTCGGGCTGTGAAAGTGGAGTTTCCGTCGATTGTCATGGCATTTGCCCAGTTCACCTTGTTTCCAGCGGCAGTGGTTTAACGAGCACCATGGAGCACCATGCTCTCGCTCTTGTTGCAGCTGTGAAGGGTTTTTGTTTCTTCAGACTTGGCGGGTGGCACTTCCTGAGTTGGGGAGGTGACATGCAACGTTGCGCAAAGAGGGGCACATATTTGTGGTTTACCAATATTTTGAACCCTACTGTCCAATGGAACATTTAAACAATTTTGAACATGCGCGTCCATTATATACTTGAGGCTCAAATTTTTGCCTTTCCCCACAACTATCTCAAGTCGCTCGAGGCTGAGGGCAACCCATCTCCCCAGTCCAGCAAGCAAATTTCACCCGCAAGATCGTCCAAATCATAGCGCATTGCAGGGCCGTCATTCACCTGGATAGGTCGATCCCGATCAAAGACCCCCTGCTTGCTTTCAAACAAATTAATCTTTTCTCCTTTAAAACACTGGTGGGCCCGGTCAGCCCACCCACCGACGTGAAGCTGGACAAAGTTGTAAACGATGCTCTGCCCTCAAAGTATGACTTTAGATGAAGAAACACATATCAAAATGCACTTTCCAAATTGGAAATTCAGCCGAGCTCACCAGCGAAGGAGCACCGCTGATTCGCATCCGCGTGTCATCTCTGGAGTTACATGCTAGGCTTGGCCTGCGTGGCTTCCGCATCACCTTGACGTGCGCTGATACGAGCGTTGCGACATCTGCGCGTTCCACATCGTTCTACCCTTTAGCCCTTTGTCCACTATCGTTTTCTCATGTTATATTCTCCACAACAAAAAATGCACACGGAACACAAAAATCCACATATTTGAATGGAACCCTATGTTAATTCAACCACCCAAATGGCTACGAACCAATTACCCAGTCACGCCATTAATTTCCACATAGTGCTTCGTAGGGGAGAGATCCTTTGAAAATCTTCTCGGGGGCAACGCCTTTGGCAGTGACACTGTGCTGTCCTGCACGATTGCAAACATGTTTTCTCCAGTGTTTTTGGGGCCGTGTCTTAAAATAAGGCAAGCTGTGAAATGAGTCAGCAAACCCTGTGTGGGTCTCCAGATGGGAAGAGATGTTCTCTCCTGACTTGTCATGCGATCAAAGGTTGCAACCGGAAGTGGAACCTCGTCTTCTTCTTCCTCTTTCCCAGGCAGCCTCACTCCTACGGCAGCCTTCATTGCTGCCTGTTCTGAACCATAGAGCACCATTCCACTCTGAGGATAGAATGCCATGGACATCGTTTGCCCTCGCGCTGCTATGATCATTTGTCGATCGGCGTCCAGGGAGCAAGTGACGCATAGGCCGAAAGAGCCTCAATGGGCATTGGACCAAGGTATTTAGACAAGGAAACACCAAGCCAAACTTTCCTCAACCCCCGCAACCCTGGCCTTTCGCCTTCTTCATAAAGAGTGAAGTTGCGTGAAGCAAGTCGTTGTCAAAGAAGGCATCAATGGCAGCTGCTGCCATTGCTCGACCGTCTCGGTCACTCAAGCTCAAGAGTCCGCTTCTCTTCACCTGAGAAAGGCCAAAGTGACCCCAAGGTTGTTCAAATCGCATTAGGCGCTTCCTGATGCTTGAGTAATTAGGCACGTCAACAAATTATGTCCCCAAAAAACTGACGTTTGTATTCCTGAACAAGTTGGAACTCAGTCAGCCCACAATTACATTCGGTAAACCTCCTGTTGAATAGTCTGAGAATAGCCCTAAGCCGAAGCCGGCGATTGCCAATCCATAGTCGCCTGTTGAAAGTACTCCTCGGCCATCTGCTCTCGTTCAGGCTCCAATAAAGAGAGCTCAATGTCTTCTGGCACCCAGCCCTGAATTAACCTGGGTGGCTGTGGGGCACCTCCTTTGTATCCCTTCAAGTCAACGTTTTCTAATACTTGACTTTGTTCGATTTGATTGTTAAAAAAGGAAGTCTGTGGACATCCTGTTGACAGCTAAAAGCGGTCTGCGGTACACTCCTTTTGTGCGTCATGTTGTTGACATGTACCTCATGAATCCGTTCACTCTAGATTCGCGTTCCTCCTTCGGGATCTGAGTGCCTTCAAACTGGCCCCGACTCAGGCCTGGGATCCATGAACTCAAAACATTCTTCCATGGGCTGGCACATGTCGTTTGCCTGCTCATGATTGTGGGCTCTCACAGCATGGTGCCATGTTGCCTGATTTTGGCAAACTCCTGTCGGGCCTATTGTAGGGCCGATTGTAAAACTTGAACTTTGCTTCAGGAATCTCCATGGGTTCAGGCTGCCACATCTCAGGCTGTTCCGGTCCCACCTCTGGTGTTGTTGTGCCCTCCATCAAACCTGGACTTGGTTCTGGTTCAGGCGTGGCATCATGTGGAGACAAACCCCTAAATACTCGACTGTCCAGCAAGATCGTAGCTGCGTCTCCACTCAGCATAGGGTCACACTCCCTCGAGGTTCTGGATCATCCAAGGAGCTGCGATTTGGGTTTTCCTGCTCCCTTCTTCGCCGATTGACCACATCCCACTGCACTTGTAGACGTAGCCCTTCATGTTGTCGACTCACCTTCTCCAGGTATATAGCGCAAACAGTCCCACTCAAGATTCTGCGTAGAGTGCTCTTCCACAAAGCCTCCCCTGTAGACATAGACCACGTCTTGTCCCACTCTCCAGCTGCATTGATGTTGTTCTGTACTTGGACATCCAGTTCATTCTGCGTCTGGCGATCTCGTCCTCCAAGACCCTCAACCGTCGCCAAATCCAGCAGCCACCCATGACCACCGCCATGATCACAATGAGGTAGACGAACTTTTGCAGGTAGTTACTGCACTCTGACGTCTGGTTCCACCCTTGCGCCACCCTTGCGCCAGTAGCCGACTTAAGACCGCTAACCAAGACCAGCCCGTTCAGATATTTTGGAATCTTCATGACCTTGCCCTTCTCAATGCGCTGCTCATTGAACTGCTCGATCTCATGTTCTCGCGCTTGCAGCCAGTAGAGCAACAACCTCAATCTGCTCCTTGACAAGGGTTTTGCGCCGATGTCTGCCAAATAGCGGGCTGTCCCAATCTGTCGTACTTCCAAGGCACCACCCCACCTTCTTGGCACCAAAGTAGTTTTCCACTCACATGCCTCAACTTCCCTGCTCCGCGCTTGCGCGCAATCTGTCTTGTAGAAGATTGTCCACCCGACAGATGCGATGCACTTCATCGCCTGTGAGGAACTGCTGGCTGTGCTTGAGACAGATGCCGTCACAAGCGCCAGAAACTAACGCATGGAGTTCGCTCTCGGCTGATGAGACATTGACCTTTTGTCCTCTGGAGGAGCAGTGTGCCGCGCCGTTGACCGTGTGAACTGCTGAAGACGCACTTTTCCTTGTAGCGCAATTCTCACCCCAATCTGCGTCGGTAAAGGTCTTCTCCGGCCACATTGACTCGTTCCACTCTTCTCTCAATCATCACTGATCTTGAAGCTGATGAATGTTGTCCCTCCTCCTCTGGCCGGATCACATCTTGTTGGCCTTTGTTTATGAGCGTTGGATCCCTGTCAATCTCCCCAGCCTTTGTATACATGAAATGACAGGAATGCCGCCCAGCCTTGACGCTTGTCCTGCTTCTTGCGCAAAGGCTGTGATGATCGGCTGCTTACGGGGGAGCTGCCTGCATCTGTGCTGCAGTCGCTGCTTCTGCTGCCGCCTTGAGTTCAATCCCCCTTCATATGATTGAGCCGTCTCTGGTAACATTTACTTCGACTGCCAGATATGTTCCCTCAATGCCATGGGCTGCTCGTCCAACTGGTTTGCTGGGTGAGAACGGTGACCAGCAGGACATTCTCTTTGATCCCATCTATCTCTACCTCCTGATTGAAGTAGAGGCTGCCAACCACCAGCGATCTTTGCCAGAATTGTTCTCTTCCAGCTCACAGTTGATGGGATGTCTTCCACGTTGTGTCACATACTGCGGACTCTGAAAAACTCGGGACAAATGGATCCTGATCCACTTTGTCCTCGAACTTCTGGCATCCAACCTGGTATCTATAGTCTTTTCCTCGAAGTCATCCTTCAGCTTTCCTTCGGGAACGCGAACCATGTCTGGCTCCATCGAGATTGTCCGTACAGATCCTTCAGCCACCAGACTCTTCTTCTTCTGCAGGCGCAACGGGATCCGGATCTCTCGATCACCTGCGCCATAGAACAGAGAATGATCTGCAATTTCCCAGCCACTTTCCACAAGCGCCCAAACAACAAGATAGGTTGGGCAACACCTTCAGAAAACTCAAAAAACTGAGCTTACTCAAACACTCAAACACTTGGACCTCCTTGCCACCCTCTGATTCAAACACAAAGCAAACACTCTTGTATCCCTGTATTGCAATGCGTTCACCCTAAGCGTCCTCTAAGATAACCCATCACCATCAATCTCAACTCCAGCTGAAAGAAAATGAAGCTGGAAGCACCGTGACATCAGCTGCAGAGTCCACTATGGTCCAGCATGGCCCACGCTGACCTTGGGCCACTTCACCATTGCCGTCTCGAACCATCATGATGTTCAAACCCTCACCAGTCTGCATTCCCCTGTGCTCACCGTCCAGGTGGTAGAACTGAATCATTCTCACCTGACCATCCTTCATGCTGTCCCTCAGGTCAAATGCCAGGGGCTCATCAAATTCTTGTGAAACTGGGCTCAACTCCACAATACGCTTCACTGCAGCAGTAATGGCCGTCGTAGCCTGACTTCCACTGGTTGTTGATGTCCACGTTGATGAAGCGTCACCTTGACTCTGCTGCTGCTGTTGTAAGTCTTCACAGGGCCACCATCTCCTTTGCCTTTCTGCCCCTTGCGCTGGTTCTTCCCTTGGCCATAATCTTGGCCTTTCTGCTGGCCCTTCTGTTCGCTCTTCGAATTCTTGGCATCTCCGTTGCCCTTTCCTCTGTTGTAGGTGTCCTTTGCCTTGCCCTTGGTCTTGCCTTCGTCCCCTTTCTGTGCGACGCAGTCGATCTCCATTGGTGCTGCGCCGCCGCGCCATGGCCCCAACATCATCGTAGAGCTCCACTTCAATGTAGCGTTGTCATACTGTATCATTGCTTCTCGAAGTCAATTATAGTCTTGACCCCCTGCTACATTGAGTTGCAACCACGTCTTCGATTGGCCGCTCACGCACTTCATCAAAATGGCAAATCTGATACTGTCCTCAAGTCTGGCGCCTGTCTTCTCATATTCAATGGAGCCCTCCTTTGAGACGTAGTAGTTGTCCAAGAAAGCAACCTTTCTTCATATCGAACTGCCCCCATTCCAAAATCACGAGCGATTTTTGCTTGCTGGCTCAAATGACTGGACCAGCAACCGATAAGCTTCCACCCATTGGCCTCCTTGACCTGCTTGATGAGGGACAGTGGTCTCTGCCTGACCAGTGAAGCCAGGGAGGCATAGAGGAAGGATCCACGTTGTGGTTCTTCATCTCTCTGGCTGGAAGGATCAATGGAGCCTCTGAATGGTCTCTGAACCCAGGGTCCCAATTAAGCAATGCACTGCTCAAGCCCCCAACTAAAATCCATCCTGGCTTTGGCAACGCTCGAGGCCATGACTTGTCCTCCAAGTTGTCTTTCTTCGCTATGGCCTCTGCAGCCAGCCTTGCTGCTAGGCTCGCTGACTCCGCATCCTCATAGCCAGTTCTTGGCCATCAACTTGTCCACCTGTAGGAGATCCAGCCGCCTGTGAAGCTAAGGGTGGTGAGCCAACGGCCTCTCCATATGTTCTCATCTTCTGTCACACGGGCGTCCTTGGTGTTCGTGACGTAGCCACCAATGAACTCCACCTCCAAGGACCACAGCCATTGATTGCTGAAATAGCGTGGAAACGCCCCACCCGGTTGGGTCCTGCCCGGATCAAAGGATTCCCTGAGCCTGCGGCAAGATCTATGAAATCACCTTCCCGGGCTCCGCTACCATGCGGAAATCCCTTTGACAGCAAAAAAGCGGTCTGCGGTACACTTCTCGTTTTGTGTGTCATGTCTTTGACATGTACCTCATGAGTCCTTTCACTCTAGATTCGCAAAATCGAAGACATTGGGCTACTCATCCAATTGAATTAGTGAGATCGTTTTATGTCTTTACATAGACATAGTCAAGATGTTGAGAGAAAAGGCCAAATGTCGCGTGCCTACTTTGACCCTTTGCTTTCATGACACCTTTTTCAACAAAACATGTGGCAAAACACTGTGAGCCAGCTGACCTGCCAAATGAAAAGGCATTCCGGGCAACGTGTGAAAACAGGCATCTCAACATACGTCCACAGTAGCTTTGTTGCTTGCGTGTTTTTCCTGCAAATCCAGGAGCCTGAAGCATACACCACAAATACCGGAAGGTATGTCTCAAAATGGATCAATCATTTGCTTCGGGGGATTTCGTAGGTTGCTGGACAGGCCCACTGTAACTGCTACAAAAACAATCCCAAGCTCTGCCAAGCCTAGCAGCTGGTCCATGATGTCACCCAATTGCTTGAAAACTTTCAACGGAGGCATCTTCTTATCCAACGATCTGTGTTGAATGCCAAAGAGGAAACCATAGCGCGCGCTGGGCCAAACCAAGCCCTGGGTCCTGCACTTGGAGAAGGGGGGCTGCTGGCCACCGTTGGGCCATCCACCTTTCTGGGAGTGAGTCTGAGAGGGGCAATAAGGACTATGGAATCTGCAAGTAGCAACTGTGCTGGCCCGAGGTGTCCGAAATAAGACAGCACATGTTGCGTGGCGCGATTGCCAACATAATCGGACAACTATATAACTGAGTAACAGGAAGGGCTTAAGTTGACTCAACTGAACATTTGTCGACGTCACCGGCCTAAGCAAGTCCATCACTCCAGCGATCGCGGCTGAGTCCACGTTGGAGGGGCGCTGTTGCCAAGTCACCTTCTCCAACCAGCATTGGATTTCCCCAAGCCTCAGCTAATTCAGCTTGTTCCCAACATTCCCTAAAACAGAGACGACAAAGACATGGCACCTGCTTGGCCCAGAAACTCATAAGTTTGGCCACCGACTTCCAAGAAATCAAAGTCTCCGTTATGGCACACATAGATCTCGAAAGTTCGCGAAGATTTCTTCTTTTTCAAGGAGCCTCAACGACTGTCGGCCTTTCGACACACATTCAGAAGCAATTTCTCACAAACATTCTTTTTAACCAGTGGCCCTGCCTCCTTGCTTAATTGAGTAGGGGCCTACTGAATTCAGTCAGGGAGTAGCTCTTTGCTTGGGTGAGCTTCCTTGAACAAGCGCTCGCACCAATGATTTGGTTCCTAGATTTTTAGAGAAACTTAACAACTGATGTGAACCAGAGTCTAAGCCTAAGGGGCCCACTCCGGCGGTTGCTGACGGAGCAGCAGAAAGGGGATCCTCTCATTCTTCGGTCCCTTGGTGGATCTACTCATTTATCTCATTTAATCTATCTCTGGTCAAACGCTGCAACAATGCAACAAATCCCATTCAAACTCAATGGTACTGCCTGAAATGAGTGAATCAACAGTTTGAGCCCCCAATAAACCCTATCTTGCCAGCGCCCGCCTTCAGACCATCCAACATACGTCATCAGCTGCTGTGGCCGTGACCAAATGTGAGGGTGTGTGCCGTCCAGGCTGGCCTTTGAGCTGGTCGCAAAACGTGTGTGGCCAGCATAGACCCGTCCGAAGCGCAAAGGCCTATTCGGGAAACGGACAGGGCCAACCTGGTAGAGAATTGATATACTGTAGTATGATCAAGCGGGAAGGAAAGCCTCTGCCAACACAGATATGATATGCTTGTATGGATAGCACTACACAAAACAAAGAGCAAAAAACATCTGTCCCGATGGATTGGGGCCACCCTACAGCATACAAATCATACTTGGCTAGAGACTGAAATGATCTAAAAGCCATGTCCACGCTTGGGGCCATGCCTCTTCCAAGACCAACGCTCCATAGAGTCCAAGGCATTCCGAAGCAATCGCGACAAGGTCGTTCGCTTTTGGTTCACCACCCTAGCAAAATCTGAACACCTCGTCACATTCTTTGTAACCATGTATGATGCCAAACCCAAACATTCATGCTTTCTTTTTGGACACCACGGCTTGTTATTTCTTCGTGCTTCAGCCTGATCAAGCCATTTTTTGACCAACCCTGCCTGGTTCGCAAACCGACCAGGTCGCCTGCTCTACGGCAGCCACGCGATGCAAACGTAACCACACCCCCACTCTGTGCTCCTCGCACCATGGTAACTTCCACCATCAACTCGAGGATGTCCTGAAAGGTGCCGGTTTGGCGCGCAAGAAAACACACCAAAGGGGTGTTCTCTTGCAGTGTCCAACGGACCAGTTTCATGGAGAAAGCATGTGTTGCTTCGGTGGGTTGCTTCGGAACTGGAGATTCCAAACAAAAAAAATCAAAAATGGCCTTCACGGGCGTGTGTAACCCATGTCCTTTATGGTGGATGATGAGGCTGCCCAAGCCTCGTTCAAGAGAATCAAGCCGAAATTCCCACAAAAAAACAGATTGCTGGGCGGAGATGTCCACACCAAGAAGTCTGACAGGAAGGCCTCCAGCAAACGAGATCAAAAGGATAGATAGGGCATTTACTGTAGTTCGTTGGGTTCCCAAGCGCCCAAAAAAAAGGTTGACACTTGGTGTTTAGACACAAACTCCTGAATATACACCATCAGAATATCGATATAAATCGCCATGTGCTCCAGGCCTAAATGGGTGCCCAGAGTTCCGAACGATAAATGCCGTCTATATAATAACACAAACAGTGAGAAAAAACCTACATGACTACATGAATTATTTTGAACAAGGTTTTATTAGAATCATTCATTCGTTCTACAGAAACAATTTCTCGCGTGCGAAGCAGGTTTCCAGGAACCCCCTAAAGAAAACACACCGGTGTTTGATTCTTTGGGATCGGGGAGCATATTGTAGGAATCGGAAGTGCATGAAACCCCAGTATTCTTTATTCAAAACTTAAAACAGAACACATTGCAGGACGAAAAAACTCAAAATGCAAGAGCCCAGCCAGCAAGCTGGAAGATGGAAATACGAAAGCGCATTAGCGGTGTCCTCTCCTTGCCTCCAGGGCAGTGATGCCCGTCGCTGCTTGGACTTCTAAGCCAAGTCCCAGAACATGGGCACATACAAACAACGCTGCAGACGCCACCCAACCGGAATGTCTCACTGCTGCTTCACACCATTTCTTTGGAGTGCAGATCTCCACCCGGCGAAGAAACACAATGTAATAGAGGTTCCTTGCAGGTCGGTGGAATCCAAGAGCACAGCATTTCATTGGACAAGTTAAGTCCAAAAACCTGGCAGAAGCAGAAAGAGTTAAACCCTGCCTCAAAGTTGTAGACGGAGACCCACAAAAGCATCCGACAATCAAGTGGCTCCTCCACAGAGACATTCACAAAAAAACGCTAAGAAAAATTCAACACTATTAAAGACTTCCTCAGAGTATGGTTAGTAGTTGCTGTCTGTTGGTCACCTTTGCCTGTAGCGAAGAGATACACCGCGTGCGCAGGACCCCACCGTTCCTCCCAAGAAAAGTACACACAAATCTGTTTTCCGTAAGCTGGTGGTGGTTTGATCTGGCTTCAGATCATCGAAAGTGCAAGGGGGAGTGTTTGTGAACCAGCTAAGTTCTTTAAAGTTTAGTCCCAAGCTAAGGACAAACCCTTTGTCCAACATAGCCACCAACTTTCGATCAAGGACCAAAACATTTCTGACACTTCTTGAAGTACCAGTCTATATCCTCCCCTTCGTAGCTTAATTTTGAAATTACCTCACTCATCACCCAAGGCCATCCACATTTGGTCGCCCAAGTTTTGGGATCACTAGTGACAACCATGGACTGACACGGGCGGTGCAAGGTCTTCGAGATCAAATTGGCAACGAATTTTGGCAACAAGGCTCTTCTTGCTTCCTTATGGATTTCCGCTGCAAATTTTTCCCCATTGAGCACAAAACCATCTCTCTGTAGAGCAGCTTTCAACTCCTCAGCTTGCGACTTCACAGCGTCACTCTTTGCAAAGTCGTCGCGACCTTTTCAACCAGCTCCATCTCATTCTTGAGTTTCAAAACACGCTCAGGCGCTTCCCCCCAGGCGTCCTCAACGTAGTCCCACGTTGTTTGGCTACTATGTCGAGCATACCATTGTATAGTAGGGAAGGAGCACCCTCTTCTGGCCATGTCCTTTGTGCCCGATCCGCTCGTGAAATGTCCTGTAACAGCTTTCAAGTCAATAGAAGCGTCTTTATACTTTTCAGCATATGTGCCAAGATGCCGCTGCGCCTCTTCAATCAATACTTTCTTGTCAACAAAAAAGTCTGGAGCACACCGCTGGCCAATCAAGGGTAATTGTCCTTCTGGAATCAAGCTGCGATCACTGATGCCCAGTTGACGACATTGTTCTTGAACAACCTCCCAGAAAACGTGGAAAGGACAGCCTGGGCCCCTGCTGCTGCCACATGAGCAACCCAAAGCCTGCGCCGCGCCACGTCCTGCAGCGTCTGTCTTGCTCACCGGGAGACGCAGAATCACCAATTTGTCAACCAAGTTCAGCTCCACACATTTGCTGTCCAAGGTCAGTGAAGACAGGTCAACTTCCCGGAGGACAAATCTGGCGCCCGCAATCCAAGTGAGGATGCCCGCATTTTGATTGGGGATTCTTCCGCAAGCCTCCACTAACTTATACCACACTTCAAGACGAACTTCTTCTGAACGACCAGTGGGGCCAGTGGCTCTGTCGGCCATTCTCTTGGTGTCATTGACAGCTACTTGGCACACAGACGTCCAGTCATAGCCCGCTCTAGTCTGGCGATCTTTGGCCTCGTACGTGTAGCTCTTGACTGCCGGTATCCGGCACTTCTCAAAAAGGCTACATTCTCTCTAATCATGTCTGGTGAAAGAGGAAGCGGCTGTTCTCCTTTCGCCCGGCAAATCTTCACCCAAGTGGTGAACAAGGCATCCTTTGCCGCTGTGGTGCCAGAAGCAAAGACCAACAAACCAAAGACTTGCGTGGCCTCCCGTCTCATTTGTGGACCGCTTGCTATTTGGATAGCCAATTTGGCTTGTCGTGAGTATTTGTCCGCTATGCAGAACCAGCTTCAGGTCTGTTTTCTGAAAGCCTTCACTCTGGTCAAAAACATTCTGTACTACAGGTTGCTCCCTACTTGGCGATCTCGATCTAGTCTCATTCTCAGAAGTTCGAAACCCGGTCCTAGCTCTAGCTGCCGCCACCGCGGGAGAGACCTCTTCCTGCCCCTGCGGTTCACATGGCGCCCACGCACGTGACCCACCCGGCCTAAACGGGTTTCCAACCCAACCTTTGGGCATGACAAAAGGGCTCCGCCAACAAAGAATAGAACCCTCCCTGTCGCCTGTTGCCTACCGACAGGGCAGAAGCCGACCAAGGTCCGACCCTGCGCCAACCAAGCGTAGTGTGACCTTGATGTAGCTTCTCCCAACTAAGGATCAACTACAGAAGATCACACCACCTTCACGCAGCTTCTTCCAGCCAAGAGTCAGCTGCAAGAACCCGACCAAGGTCCTACCCTGCGCCAACTAAGCGCAAAGTGGCCCTTCATGTAGCTTCTCCCAACTAAGGATCAACTACAGAAGATCACACCAAGAGCAAAGTGACCTCCACGCAGCTTCTTCCAACCAAGAGTCAGCTGCAAGAACCCGACCAAGGTCCTACCCTGCGCCAACTAAGCGCAAAGTGGCCCTTCATGTAGCTTCTCCCAACTAAGGGTCAACTACAGCAGATCACACCCAGAGCAAAGTGGCCTCCACGCAGCTTCTTCCAACTAAGAGTCAGCTGCAAGAACCCGACCAAGGTCCTACCCTGCGCCAACTAAGCGCAAAGTGGCCCTTCATGTCGCTTCTCCCAACTAAGGATCAACTACAGAAGATCACACAAAGAGCAAAGTGACCTCCGCGCAGCTTCTTCCAACTAAGAGTCAACTGCAAGAAGATCACGCGAACAGCAACCCATCAGCAGGAGATACCGAAAAAGCACCTTTGCGGGTTCCCAGAGAGGACCACTACCCTGGTCGACCGAACGAACTCTGGTTAACCGGAATGGCCCTTCAACCCAACCAACATTCACACCTCACGTGCGCGGATCAAGGACTCTCACAATGACCCGAAAACACTTGCATTCCCTTCAAAGGAAACAAATGGTTTTGGCTTCGAACCACTCGCCCCTTCTCTGTCGCCAAAACCACGCAGTACATTTTTCTTTTCTCGTGTTACGCTTCAGGCCAAGTGCGGTAGTAGGTTCTCTGTCGATGTGGTGGCTCGACTGCCTGAACAGCAGCTAGTTCCAGTGGCACCGGTTCTTGGTGCGGTCTGCTCAACTCGTCTGGTAAGGTGTTGCTCACGCCTGGCGTTTGTTGCGACTCACTCCGAGCTGTCTGAGTATGGGCCCAAATAACTTCACCGCGACCACGATGGCTAACAACTCATTCTCAGATTCAAAGACAGGATCGCCAGGCACCGCGTTGAAGAGTGTGTATTCCTCAGCAAAAATTGGACTGCGGAAGTACGCCAGCACTTTTTTGTCCGCGCCAAGATTCCACCCAAGCCATATGGAGATGCGTCGTCGCCGAATGAGGTCTAAAGCAATGCAGTTTGCTCAAACCCACTTGATGTGGTTGTAAATACAGAAGAGCTCGCCGCCACCTCAGAACATTGGCGACTTGTTTGGCAAATATAATATAAAGCCCTTTCCGTCGTCTAGTAGTGGCCGTCGCCGGTTCTTTGTACCTTGCAATGACGGCCCACAACATAGACAACCAAGGCCTAGCGGCCTAGCCGCAGGAATCGCTGAAGACAACCATCCCAACACGCCTGCCGCAAATGGCAACAAATGCGAGGGCATCACGCCACGATAGCTATCCAGTTGGTTGAAGACTGCCAACAACTTCTGTTTCTTTGCTTCAGCCAACTCTACCCGCAAATCCAACATCTGAGTCCCGGTGACAGTCAACTGAAACCCGATCCACTGCAGGCTGCGGCCCCTGGCCACTTCCTTCCAAGAAACATCCAGACCCAGACTATGCCATAGTCCAGTGTAGCACAACAAATGCTTGGTATGTTCTTCTGGGCTGCCAGCTACAGACACCATTAATGGATCATCGATGTAACAGTTTATGTCAGTCTCATAACTTTTCATTGCTGCTTGACCTAGCCATATATGGCCGCCGCTGCAACTATAGACCAAATCAAAGGCCCTGTCGCCACGCCGAACACTACACACTTGGACATTCACGCAGCTGCAACATGTTGAACGCATCTTTGAAACCCAACGCCATCAACTCAATGTAATGGTGAGGGAACCATGCACTGTTGCTTGGCACTAGCTGCAAGAACCCTGTTGCAACATCTGAAATTCGAGGCGATGTCACATGCTCGCGACAAACTATCAGCCCGTTCACTCCGGATCTGCGACCATCAAATATGAGCCTTGACTTGACTGAGCCATCCTCCTTCTCTTTGACGATGCATCCGATTTTGGTCAGCCTGGCGGTTCCCACTAATTGAATCACTTCTTCCCTGGAACGGCATGAGTCGGCTCATCCTTTCTCAAGCATCTCATCTAGCAAAGGCTGCGCGCGGTCAACTTCATCGACAAAACTCTTGTAGTTGACAATGTCACCATGGTGGTCTTCCATCACAATGCCTTCGACTCAAGATGCCTCGACTGCTGCCGTGTCTTCAAATGTTCTTGGGAAAACACCTCATCCAGCTCGGTAGAACCGCCCGGTCTGGGTCTCCAGCACTTTCCAACAATACACCCCAGAGGTCCACTGGCCAGCTGCACTGTTCCTTTTCGGTGTTGAACTCCCAGCGCAACATGGACCTCAACTTTTCCACCTCCTCCTCAGGAGTCCAACACGCTTCTGAGTCTCTCTGCGACATTGCGTAGTTGCGTCGACCTGGATACTGCCCTCTTAGCAAAGCGAAGTCCGCCCCATGCTTCAACATTCCCTCTTTCTCGTCGTTCTGCCAGCGTTTCACCCTCAGCTTCTGTTTCAGCTTTTGGCTTTTGCGACAGTGAACGGGCCACGACAAGTGTATTCTTCCAACGACCAACTTTCACAAAGGATCTGCCATCTGTTGCCCTCATCTGAATTCAACCATTCAAGCAATGCCCTTCTCCAAGCAATCGTCAGCCCACATGGATATTCAGCTGCCAACGATGCACGCCAGACATAGGGCTCCTCCAAACAAAGCCAGGTCACGCCGACTAAGCCCCCTCTCAAATGGTAGTGAGCCCTAACTTCATGACACAGCGCACACACCTTCATCCAGCTGGCATTCGTCAATATGCCTGTTGCCTTCATGGTCAGAGCGCCATACGGACATTGGTGCAGAAATATCAACTCTGCACCAGGAAGCCTGAACAATCTTGCCATGCACTTCAACAGGTAGAGAAACGAATCCCATGGGTTTTCTATGGCCCACGTCCTGCCCCTTAATGCCGACAAGCTTGAGGACCATGAGCGCCATCCTAGCAACGATCTTGTTTGCCTCTTCAACTTTCACCTTGCCACGCTTGTCACTTCTTCTTGCACGAGTCACAGTACGGCATGGAGGTGCCATACGGCCATGGTCAATCTCCTCACGCAAACTCACGCCAAGCTGCAAGCCAAGATGTCCCAGCCTCCGAAATCATCCAAGGGACTTGAGACTCTGACTGCATCGCCTGCCAGCTCCTCCACGGTTGAAGAAAAGCCTGCAAAGCCTGCAAAGAACTCACAAAAGTGAAACTGCCTGTTACGTTGTACATCAACCTGTAACTCATTCTTGTGTGACTGTGACTTCTCCCATGCACCAGCCCAACACTCTGCTCTATCTTGACCCCCTCATCCTGTCACTTGTTGTGCTGTTTTTCTTGCCCTTGCCACCTCCCTGGCACTTAGAATTGGGACGCGCTCCAAGGCAGTATTGGCAACAATGCGCGCGGCCGGCTGATAAGGCTCTGGGCATGCTCCCAAGGCGCCTTTTGCAAAGGCAAAGCAGATCTGCACGCCCTCTCTGTCGGTCTGGACCTCCTTGATTTTGACGCCGTGGAGTGTTGGCAAATTTGTTTGACGAGTTCTGCAACGCCTGAATCTTTGCCTTGTCTCTTTGTCTCCTCTTTGCCGCCTTCGACAAGCCTTCGCCGGGAGCTCTGTGCACCGCCTGTTGCAAAGCCTCTGAATACAGTGAGTCTTCAGCGTCTTTGCGAGTCATAGTCTTATCAATTACTTGAGAAGAGGGACGCACGAAAGGTAGGGCAGCGGGCGGGAGGAGAATAGAAGGATACAAAACATGCATTGTGGGGTTGGTGGAGTCGAATCAAAGGTAAACGTGAGAAAAGGTGAAAGTGTGAGAGATATATGCATAAATCTAGAGTTATATAGATGAGAATCGTCAACGAGAAAAGGGATGAAAAACAACATCTTGCGAACCCGTGTCAGGTCGCTGCGCGTACACGACAAATAACCATCGAGGTGATACACTTCGGGATGAAGCGATGATCCACTTCGGGATCCGAGCGTTGGTTGACTCACGGTCCACGCGCGCGCCAAATAACCATCGTGGTGATCCACTTCGGGATGAAGCGATGATCCCCTTCGGGATGATACGGTAGGGGGTAGGGGGGGTCTGTATTGAAAAAGGGAGGGTCTGTATTGAAACATCAATTCCTAGGAGGGAGGTTGAATTGAACTATCAATTGTTAGATCTGGAGGAGCCCACACTTGCTTCGCAAGACAAACTCAAGGCATCCCCTGAAGGGCTACCTTTCGTGATTTGCACCGCCTCTTGCAATGAACGTCTGAGCAGGTCGAATGACGGCCCGATCTCAATACCCTTGTGACCTCGCAGCATATTGAAACGCTCCCGCCCAAGGCCTTTCACTGTCTAAGTCCAAGTTCATGGGAAGGCGGACTTCATTCTTGGCCCTGATTAATTCCCGTTGGAACCGTTCAAATATTGTTCACCCCTGCACCTATCGCCTATCCTCTGCTTGCAAGATCAAACGCCATGCTTCAGGAAACTCATCTCGCAGTTCCACAACCTTGTTGTAATACTCTTCTAACGCTGCAACCGTCACCATGTGCACTGCTGGCGCCTAGCGGCGGAGTTGGCTGGGTGTTTTAACATCAACAGCGCTGTGGCACTGCGCGATAGATCTTTCAACAAGCACTCCACGCGCTAAACGTCGGAGGACCCGGAATCTCCACTGTCTTCCAAGTCCCATATTGTTGTAAAAAAGCGTTGTGCGCTTTGGATTGCTTCTGAGCTCTTCGACCAAACGGCGTCAGAAATGAAAAATCAGCATAAGGTGCCTCTTGGCGACGCAACACTTTCATGTACATTGCTGTGATCTGTTCCACCGACGGGTCAGCGTCTGCCATTGGGTCTGACCCAACAGCTTCCCGATAGTTCCTGTAACATTCGTCGATCTTGTCATTGCCAAGCACTTCAACTTCCGAGTCATCTAACTGATCCACAGCCGAAGACATCTTTACCCGCTTCGAATGCGATCCTCCAGCAGAGGTGGGGGTTACCCCACCTGTGGGAGTGGTATGCACTGGTGTGTCTGCAATCAACGGGTCAACATCTGGCCATGAATAAGCTTGCCTGCAGATTCGCCAAACTAGCCCAATCTGAATTATCTCGACTGCGGTCAACAAGCGCTCCGGCTGGGAAGCGGTAGCAGGAATTCGCGAACGTTCAAACGCAGGCAAGAGTGTGGCTTTAGGGAGTGTAGCAAAGATCCTCATGTCGGGAATGCCTCCCAAGCAGGTGGACATGGCTTGCCAAGCTGCGTCATTCAGGTTCACCCAGCGACAGACCTCACGAATGGTGTCGGTAGGGAGTACCTGAAGCCTTGCCATTTTTTGACTCCATCGAAGACTCCTAAGGCGTTACAGGCCTCAGAGCGCAGCGAACTGCTCGACCCTACGAGAGCAAGCTGCTGGATCTCCGCCCAACACTAGCCAAATCGAAGGTGTCCTGTGAAAGATCTTGAGCCAAAACGTCGGTTCAAGATCTTTCAAGATCTTTCACCCAAACCACCAAGCTATGCTCATGTTTCACTTCACCTATTCTAGGTTCCACAAAATTTCAACACTATTAAAGATTTCCTCAGAGTATTGTCAGTAGTTGCTGTCTGTTGGCCACCTTTGCCTGTAGCGAAGGGACGCTTCAAGTTGTTTCTCATGGAGCTTCTCCAAGGCAGTTCTTATGGATCTTCGTCTAGTGACTCTAGTGGCTGAAATGCCCAATACGTTTGTTTAGTTCCTTTCTGAAACCCACATTTCCTTCGCTACCCAAGTTTCCTTCACACTGCAACGAACAATTTTTAAACATTGTTCCTTTAAAACCACACATGGTGAATTGGCAGTCTTGATTTGAACCATCCCCATCTTTTTCGGTCGAGGCACACTTCATGCAACACACCTGCTAGCCAATACCAGAAGAAAAGATCTAAAAGGATCATGGCCCGAGTCGCGCACTTAGTGCTGCGGCTGTTTGAGCTAAAATTGCAACGGCTATCTCAGCAATCTGACAAAGCAGGCGCGACAACACTTCTAGCTGCCAACATGCCCAATAGTATGCGCCGTAGCATGCACATCAAACCATGCAAAGACGTGACTGGCATATCAATTCACATCGACAAAAAAATATTTGCACATTCCAACAAGTGGTGGTTGCTTTGTATTCTACAAAAAATTGAATTGCTGGTGCCTCCAACGGATACATGTCCAAACAAGATCAAATGCTTTTGCAGAAGCGCCACACTGCACAAATCGAGAAGCGTGCAGCATGAAACCTTTTGAACTTCAAAACCGTTTCGTTTGCAAAGACCTCACCTGCTGGCTGCGCCTTATGCATCATCTGTTTGCATAGGTTTTGATGGTCTCCTCTGAAGGATCATGTCCACCTGCAGAGTATTCTTGACAAGAGAACATCGGAAATGTAATTCGGGCTGCTGTAGGAGACTTTTGCTCAGCTTAAAACTGTAGCTGACGTGCGGGCCCATACGCCAAGGCAATGCCACGAGGAGGAAAACCTCAAGGGGACGCACCTGGGCCTGGCTACTGCGGCGGAGTGGATTGAGAGAGTGGAGAGATCGACCACCCATGGCAAGCACCTCCTCCTGAAGAAAAAGATGCAAAGTGTCGTTGACAGTTGCTTTGATGTTCAGAATGATCACTGTGCACCTGGTGGCGCAGCATGGAAGGGATGCGCCAACTTAATCTTTCCACTTGAACAACCAGCCGAACCAGATCATCAACCCGAAGGCGCCCAGGGCAGGGATAGTTCAGCCGCGTTTTCTTTCTTTATTTCTCTCCTTCTTGCGGGGAGCTTTGCGAAGGGTTCTTGCGTAGAAAGGGTTTGCGCTACAGATCTGCATCAATACATTTGGGACGCTGCATGTGTAGGTTGTAGGTATGCTACAAGTACATCTGCAGTTTGCAGGTGTGGCACTTGCTAGAACATCTAGAACTGCTTTAGTGCTGGGTTCCTGCTTCGGTGACTTTCGCTGGGGTTTTGCTTCTGCAAACTGATGTGCAAAATCAAGTGCAACTTTCGCTGCAGTCTTCCATGAGTGTGTTAGGGTAGCATGGAGTAAAACATATCTGAGCTCGCGCGCGTGATACATTTCGGCTCCTTATGTCTATTCTTTCTTAGCCGTGGCGAAATGCAAACGCAGATCGCACGCGTCGAGTGAGTCAAGTGCTCAGACGTGACGCGAAATGCGAATTTAACCCTCTGCAAAGACATTTCAATGAGCGCGGTGACCCCTCTGCAGAGACTGCGCGCGCGCAAACTTCCTTGCGACAGTGTGCAACTGAAATTGAAGGGGGAATTATATACATCATCATCTTCCATGACATCTTTGCTGATTACAAGGGCATCAAAGGAAGCTGGCGATCTGCCGGGAGCCTGGAGCTGACACTTGAAGCCTCCAGTTCCAACGGATCGATTGGGACTGGAACATGCTCCCCGAATACGGAGCAAATCTTGACGGTGCCATCCAGCAAGTGCTTTGCAAGTGCGTTGCAGGTGCTTTGCAGGTGCTTTCACAGGAAGCCAAATGAATTGCAAAGGACTTGGACATTGGAGGAGCGCAGAAACGCGACACTGCACAAATCGAGAAGTGTACAGCATGAAACCTTTTGAAACCAAAAGCCGTTCTTCAAGTGCGACTTTTGGGTCAAGCTGTGTGGTTCCGGCGCAATGCTTCGTGCAGGCTTCTTTCGATTTTTATCGCGCCTAGTCATCCCATTTTGGACATGGAAGCTCAGAAGGCTCAGAATTAGACGTAGTCTCTTTGATGTTGATATTGATATCTGAAAACTCAAAACCAAGTGTAAGAAGCACGGGAATGTTTCAAATGGACTTTGCCAATCGAAATCTTCCCTCTACAGATTCGACGTTCAGTTCAGAAGCAAATCCTCTTGGACCTGGAAAGCGACAGGGCAAAAAGAAACAACACCAGCCCTCAACACAATCTCACAGTCTCAAGCAGTTCACATGCCTTAGCTTATACCGCTCATAATTCATAATCGTTCCCTTGATCCTTAGTTTCTCTGCACCCACGTGCATTCGATCCAATCCCACTCTGATCCACCTCAACCAAAAATTTTGGCGTTAACAGTTCCTGGCATCTCTCCACTGCAGCAGGCACAAGGAATACATGTCGGAACAGGCTTTGAGACTGAGACCAGTGTATTTGTCAAAGCTCAAACACTTCAACAAGGCCGATGACAAGCCAACCATGCCAGCATTGCAAATAGACACAACATCACGTTCATCCTGTCCACTCACTTGCCAAGTCGATGAGTCGTTGACCTGATTTGCTCTTCTGAAAAATCAAAAGAGCAGGCATCTGCAAGCACTGAGAGGTTGAAACACCAAGCGCATGCTAAAAATCATCTTGGGCACATGCGTAATTAAAACAGTCGTGCAGCATAGTGTAGTCATGTGTGAGCGTGGCCTTGCCTGAACATGCTTTCCCACGTCACCGTGATCCCCTGGCAAGCTTGTCCTCTCGCAGCCCCTTCCTTCTTTCCAGCAGCACCACTGCTTTTTCAGCGGCGACCAAGCCTTACAAGGAAAAGCAAAGGATAAACAAACTTGTTTAATGCAGAAAGCTGCAACTTTTCTTTTGCCAGGCTACATGGAAAGCCGCTCTCAACCCAACTTGGCAATCAAATGGGTCATCAGACTCCAGCTGGCGCGGGCAGGCATCCTGCACGACCGACAAGCTTCGCAAATAAAGAGAATTACCTGAGCAACAAACGCTTGGCCCTTGGCTGGCCAATCCTTTGCTTGAACAGGAGGCCAGTCCTGAATGGTGCAACCTTGGCAAACGTTTTTGCATTGGACCTTCACCTTGGTGTAGGCTTGGAAACAGCGATTGTCCTGCAGTAATCAAAGTTAGAATCTGCAAGGGCGACAGCTGAGCCAGTCCTGCCCCTGGAAAATGTTCTGCATCAACCAGCGAATGCGCTCATTGCAACTAGAGCTCTGACCTGTTGGTCAAAGTGAATTAAATGCCGATCTATCCTCATCAAAATGTCAATCTGTTCGCTCACAAACGAAATGAAGGGCGGTAAGGAGAGAAAGCATAAGAGCAAGGTGCTGTCGTATTTTCCACATCTTCTGACCAACTCTCCTGTCTCCCTTCTCTCACAACCAAGTCTGAAGTTCGCGAGAAAAATTCGAAAAAGATTGAGCGTTGCCTGCTTCGAGTGCTTTGTCGAAGCCAGTGGATTTTTACCAACCATGCAGACGCAAGCAAAAACCCGCAATAGATTCGGAGCAAGCACGCAGTGATCAAGGACAAGACTGCGCACTAACAAAGTACTACAGTATACAAAAAGGAATAAGTAAAGTCATTGCAATGCACAAAAGGTACCTGGCTGGTGCGCCAAGCAAAACAATTGGATGAGCACCACAGCCCAGCCAACCCAAGGAATATGTGCCTGCTGGTAGTTTCGAGATGTTGATACCAAAGCTGAGCTAGTTCAGATTAGTTCGGGTTTTCGGGTTGTTTTGGTGTCAACAAAAACTGCTGTGTTTGGTCGGTTTTTGTTCATTATCTTCCGATGTTTGTCCGATGGACGGGCCACCCTCTTCCACCTGCCCTGGTGGCCCTTCACAGCCGTTTCTGTTTGCTCGCTTTTACTGCTAGTTGTCTCACTTGCTTGCTTGAGCATGGTTTGGTGGCGCAAAATTGGAAGGATTGCCTGTACACGCTGCAGCATTGCAACCTTTGTTGGATGATCCGTCTTCGTTTCCCTCTGTCTCTCTCTTCAGAATTCGTCACACCTCCTGTCTGATTGGAGTTTGGACCTTCCGTTCCACCAGTCTCATTCACGGTCGCAGAAACTGTTTGGAACTTTGCGTTGCGACTTCCAAAACTGCCGCAATATTCAAGCGGGCATACCAGAACTCCCACTTGGTGCGGGCATTCAACACCAATTGTCCTGTGGAATCACCAACCACACACGCACTTATGATTTTGCGTGCAGAATTGAAAGCGGTTGCCACACGCCAGCCTAGGTTACCATTTCCTAAGGGTGCAAGTACGGACCACTGGAGCCTGGAGGTCTTCAAAAGGGGAGAAGTCCAAAAGCTCAAGTCGAGATCGAGACGACAAGATGACGACGTCCGCTCACGTCTGCCACGTGCACTAGCCCTTTAGGGAAAGTTAAAAGTTGATGCAGGTACGTCAGCAAGCGTCCTTGCTGATATCAGCACAACCTGAAGAGCCTCTTTGTTAGATGTCCTCTCTTCAGGTGTGGGGCATCCCCCTGCTAGAAAACTAAAAGCACAATCAGCACAAACCAAGTGGATCCCTCTGACTTCAAGGGGAACACACACACACACACACACACTTAGGATATTGTGTACTGAACTGAATGCGGTGCCACACACCGGCCTAGGGTTCCAATTCCTAAGGGTACATGTACGAACCACTGGATCCTGGAGGCCTTCAAGAGGAAGTAGGGCCCAAAAGGAAGAAGACGAACGACGAACCGACAAGATGACGTCGTAGCGTGCAAGTCTGCGGCTACTTAGGAATCATGTGAGGAGGTTCTAGGCTTAGCCTCTTGCCATTCGGAAAATTGCAGGTACGTTCCCGAGGCGTCCCTCAGGAATATCACAACACGATGGAAGGGTCTTCGTTGGGCAACGCCTTCCAAAGTGTTCATTGCCCCCCTGCTATGGAAAGAACGAAAGCGTAAGAAAACAGGCACAGCAAATCCAAAAGGATCCCTATGATTCCAAGGGTTACACTCACACGCCTCCCCGAAGGGAGGCGAGATTTTAAGCTGGTGAGATTTTAAGCTCCGCGCCAAAGTAGGGTGAGACTAAGAGAAGCGACGGATCTCACGGTAAGTCTGATAGGCGGTCAGTGGTAGCCGGAGTTGACCAATGGCGTCATCATGGAGGCGAGGAGCGACTGTATGGAGAGGTCGGTAGGGAAAAGGAACGGAGTCCCGTGGGTATTCGGTGGCTAGTCCCTGTGGGCGTACCCGTCGTGAGTTGACGTAGTAAAGGACGAGGTCTTCAAGGGTACATGTGTGTGGGACTTCCCAGGCGCGTGAATCACCGGTCGAGGGAAGGGCCATCCAGAAGGCCGTACGATGTAGACCTAAGCGGGAGTAGATCACATCTTTGAGATCATCAACCGTGTACTCTTTGGTGTCAAGTTGCTGCCAGTCTAGGGTCACAGTGATGTAGTTCAGGGGTTGATACACAAGCAAACTGACATCCAATTCAAATCGGACTGTAGAAAGGTCAGGAATCATGTCCAAGGTTTCAATAGGTTGACGAACTTCACTCCAAGAAGCACGCGATGTAGGAATCAGGTGTGTCAAAGGCTCAGGTACGCGAAGACCGGGAGACGAAATCATCGATCAGGGCGAAGAATAGGGGAGGAGCGGGTAAAGCAGTGGAAGTAATGGGAGCCAATGGCTGCGGTGAAGGACAGTAGAAATCAGTGATCTAATGAAAAACATTGAAGGAAAGGAAACAAAAGCAGAGAAGTAGACAAGTACGAAAAAGGATTTCAAGAAACTTTTCACTGCACAGCGAAGATGATGTTGAGTTCAGGGAAGCTTGTACGGCCTCGACCTGCAGTTAAGAAAATGGAAGTCGAGCTCAATCTCGAGGTCGGTCAGTAGGAAAGGGAGGTTCCATAGTGTGTTGAGACTCGGTCGATGTGGAATTCAAAGACATAGATCCTGAATCGGGTACGGGAAGAGGAAGTCCGGCGCCTTCGCTGACAGGGTCCGAGGTAGCAGTCTGGCCAGGAGGGGCCGAAGAAGCTGCAGTGGAGCGGCCCGGGTGCAGGAAAGGATCATCCGGTTGGTAAACTTGGTGAAGTTCATCACGGTAAGTGTTGAAGGTGTGGACCACCCCGCTGATGAGTTGTTCTTGCTGTGGAACGGGTAGGCCCTGAAGTATAGATACCTTCAAAACATCAAGCTGAGAGAAATTCTGTAGGAGTGCTTCGACTTGGTACTGGACACTGAGATGTTCCAGATTGTCCACAGCCTGTCGCTTTTGGCCTCTGCGGGAGGGAGGTGTGTGGCTGAGTTGTTGAGCAGCTGCAATGCGTTCTTCCTCCACGCGAAGAGCGGCTTCATATACCTCGCATTGTGTCCAGATGGAGAGGCTTTGTGTGGCAGAAAGTACAAGCTGCCAACCCCACACACGTGAGTATATCGAAGGCCAGTGAGAAGCGGGGTGATCATCAATAAAGTACCCGGTTGCAGATTTGTATGATCCCAGGGAAGGGTCTTGTGGTGGAACCAAGCGCGGTAGAACCAATAGCGGGTATGGTGTGATCGACGACAAGCCCATTCTTCAAAAGGTTCAGCGACAGGCCAAGCTCCGTGAGTTGTATTGTGAATTTGACGAGCATAGTCGGTAAAGTCCTCGTTGTATTGGTTCTCGGAGCGAGGAATGCTCGTCAATAGAGCCAGGCCTGCAGGAGGCGTGAGGTCAGACGTGTGATCCTGGTGAGAAAGGTTATCATCAGGAGGAACCTGTGTCGGAGATGAATCTCCCGAAGGGACACGGACATCTTCTGGTTGAAGATCCATATTTTCCATGTGAAGCAAAAAGTAGGGGAAAGAACCAACGTAGAACCGAAAGGCTGCGGAAGAGTCGGAGAGAGGTAATAGTTGCAACCGAGGCAGAATCATGGCGACGCGTCAAAAGGAGTCTGTAAAGAGGTTGTTTTCACAGGAAGCTCCGAGTCGAGGGGATGAATGTAAATTATAAAATTGAAATTAAGGCTTTGCCTCAGGTAGTCGAAACGGACGTGATGGTCGGGGGATCAGAAAGGGTATCTCCTCGCCATTGAGCTTGACAAGTAGTCCTACCAAAGGTCGAGCCGAAATTGGAGTAGAATCGCTCGAGGGAAGTGTAGTCGCCGTGGATGTGCTCGTACTCGATGGGATCGATGTAGTGGAAGTAATCCGCAAGGAGGTAGGAGGTTTTGTCGGGCGCGCTTTCTTGGGGAAGGTGGTGGAGATGTGGACAGGTTCATCTGAATCCCGAAGATAGGAAGCCATGGAGGGGCGAGAGGTCGGATACCTGTTGCAGGTGAATTGGTCATTGATCGTGTGAAAGCTGCGAAAACAAAGGCGGTGAAACGAAGCTTGGGCCGATAGGCTGACAGGACAAGGGCATAGAGAAAGTGCAATTGAAAAAGGAAAAATCAACAGTTTGACGCGAGAGAAGAAATCATAGGAGAAAGTGAAGTGTCAATTCAAAGAGCCCAAAGGAACATCGGCGAAGGTCGTTTTCCGGTGTCCGTGAGTTGGTGAGTCGAAATTCAAAGATGAAGATCAGGATGTAGCCAACCGTTGTAGTTCAAGAAGTTCAGCCCAACGAGCGCGGATTTGGGATTCTGGGCGCTGCATCTTCTTGGTAATGTAGCGCCAACTGGGTCGAAGTCGTTCATTGCATTTGAGGCTGAGGAGGAGGTCATCATCTTTGGTGCTCCAATCGTCTTCCCAAGATGTGTCTGAGCGGGGGGGAGGGGATGCAGGGAGAAAGGAAGGAGAAGGCGAGGGGGAGGGGGAAGGTGAGCGGCGTTTGCGGGGACGGGAGGGAAGGGGGCCATGGGGGCGGAGGAGACAAGTGAACAGGATGGGGAGGGAGAGGGAGGAAGGAGGGCCTGAGAAGAAGGAGGCGGGTAGGCGAAGTCAGGAGGAGAAAGAACAGGCGAAGGAAGAAAGGAGAGTAGGGGAGGGGAAGAGGGGGCGCCGGCATCGGCGGGGAGCGGAGAAAGGGAGGGGAGAGGGAAGGGGGGAGGAGCAGAGGGTGGAAGAGGGGGGTGGAGTGTGGGGGAGGAGGCAGGGGGAGTCCGCTTCCCAGCTGATGATGTTGGTGACGGCGATGGAGTCCTCGAAAGAAGCGGTGAAAGCTCTGAACGAGGTACCGGTTGTTCCGGTTGTTCACAAGGTGCCCAACTGATAGAGGGTCTCGTGGCGGTTTGAAACAGTGACGATGCCGGACTGGCAGGTGGTCTGGAGGGGCAAGAGCCCGAGGTCATGTCCACAGGAGATGCGGCGTCCGGGTTTTGAATCATGTCCACCAGTAGTCGAAGTGCAACAATGACGATATTGAGTTGCGTCGCAATAGTAGAGACCAGGTCTGAAGTAGTCGATTGTGACATGGTCGAGAAATAAAAGAAAGGGTGAGGAAAGCACCTTTGAGCCGAGAAGCTGAGAGAAAGAGGTAAAAGAACAGAAGTAAGGAAGTAAATTGCAGGGAACAATAGACGACACATGACAGCAGTGATGGAAATCGGAAAGAATGCACGGTGTGTTTTCCAAGCGGTGAGGGGTCTCAGGCGCTGCATACAGAGAAAGTGAGAAACCGAAGCTGAGTGTGGAGTGGTCGTCTTGGTAGGTGAAAACGATGGCAAAGTTGATGAAGAAGTGGTAAAAGTTGAGCCATAGTGAAGTCCTTGTCGAGGTATTGTTGCGTCAGGTCGATGAGTTGAGGAAAGATCAAATCTCGGGGGCGAGTCAAGCGGCAAATCAAGATGCCGCGAGTGAAGAAACCAGCCAGAGCCATGTCCGGAGAACCGGCAGTGCGATTGCTGCGAATCAGTGTGAGATGAGGTGGTTGTCGAAAAGTGATGGTGCGTTGAGAGGTGGAAAGCACGAAGCCGAGTAGGGTCTCGTCCGTGACATACTCCATCTCGAGTGGTCTACCGTAAAAGAAGGGTTGAGCGATGGCCTGGAAAGAGTCGGTGTGGAGCATGCGCGCAGGTCCCAGGAAGAAGACATTGTCCACGTAGCGTGCCTGAAGCGCCAGTCCCGTGGCGTAGCGCCATGAAGAGGTAGGAAAGGAGCATAGAAAACAATACTCTCGAAAGAGTGCAACAGCGCTGCATAAGGCGGGGGCCAACGGTGATCTCATGGAGGCTCCTTGACATTGCCGAAAGACTGTCAAGCCCACTGTGAAGTAGGAGGAGTCCAGCAAGTGAGACACCAAGTCCGGTAGGTCCCGGAGGTGAATGGGATGGTAGGAGCGAGAGGTCTTGCGCCAGCGACCACGAAAGATCCGTTGAAGACGTTCTTGTCGGTGTTGAGCAACGCTGAGAATAGGGTCGTCTTGCAAGTCCAGGCCTTGGGGAGCAGCGTAGCGTGTGATC